ATAGCGTCCCATCTGGTCCTTGCCTACATCAAAGTACACTAAGAAAGGTAAAATGTCATAAAGCATAATTTTGGAAAACAGAGGAATGCTGATCATATTTATCATTTCAGAAGCAAATTACTGCTTCTGAAATCTGATTGGTGCAGCCACATATGAAGCTGTAAAATATTTGATCAGTTGAATTCTGTATAAATGCACCAAAAATCCATAGAATCATCTTTGATTGCTATGTTGCCTGGCAACTATAGACTACTGTTAACAAACTACATTGCTTGAAGAACTGTTATTCTAGTTATTAATAATAATGAAATATTGAACATAATATATTATTTTCTCACTCTTGTTGTCCGAACTTCACACTGATATTTATCAAATACATTTGAAAATGTATTGAAAATTGTATCCTATATAATGTGTTTGGAATACATTTTGGAATGAAACAACATATTCAGAATGTTTCTCACATACAAAAATGTTTACCAGTATATTTTACTGTAACAGAGTCTCTCATGGTATATTGTATTATTCTGATCAATAAAATAATTTGTGGAGTAGAAGGTGCAGCTTATGTAAGTAATTAACTCACTGGAATTTTTGTATTCAACTCTGTAAAGTGAGGCATTGTTGCAAGCTTTGATGTGTGTGTGCGTAATCATCTATCAGGTCTCCGGTTCCATCTCACTGTCCTTGCATAAGGAGTAGACGACAGGTGGTTGTGATTTGAGTCCAACCCAAAGCTGGACAGAAGTCAGTCTTTACATTGCCATGTACTGAATCAGTGACTTATGTTACACCCGTATAAATATTTAAACAAAAACACTAAATGTGCTTTATATATGCCGTGTATCCAGCATGTGTTGTTTGGTGCCTGTGCACTAATCCACATCATGTAGACCACTTTACAGCAGGAGTCCTCTGGGTGCCATCGTATGCGGTATATTTGAAGCCAGTGCTGGATATGCTTTTGGATGAAGGTTGTCCATAGATGTCCGTCAATTGGCTTGCAGGACAGGAAGTGGTGGTGAGCCCAGAATGCGTCAGGAATCCGAGTACACACTTCCACATGCCTGTGTGTAGGGTTTCACCTTTCACTCCACCACTCCTCAAACCTCAGTGCACTAACTCTGCACCAAAATGGCCGCTCGCGCCAGCAGTTGTGCCGCCACCACAGCCAAGCTTTTTTAAGAAGGTTCTCTGCTTTTTGCTGGCCATCTGGTGTGACTCTATGCTGGTGTATGCATTATTACAGCGTTGCAACACCAACAAAACTTGACAATCAGTTTTTTGCTCAGTTCACATTGTATAATGGTATAGACAGGCTCTTTTTGAGTGTGGAGATATGGCTTCGGTCCATAAGTACATTAATTATGCTGCCAGGACTAACTGACTGTCTTTCAAGTGGTTTATCTTACTTGTACTTACTTGTATTTTCTTGTATTTTATCATTTTCCACTTTGGACATGGCATTTAAGTAGGTGCAACAGTCATATAATTCATATTTCATTCATTTTTCCAAACTCAGTTTATCCATTACAATTAAACAGCCTCTTTTTGTTACTGTGTCTATAACCTTTCCGGAACCATGCATCTCGTCAGTGATCCATTCTGGGAATTTGGTGATGGCTTCTTATTCTCATTTAAATTTGTCACCAGAGGAGTTATGGTCTGTAAAAGAGCATGAGGAAGCACAAGACTTGCCTGTTGCACTGTGATTTTTTCAGAGTAAGTGCACAAGCTCATTCAGTCTGCATTTCAGATTAGGTAAATACTATTCTTTTGTCAAATAAATGGAACAAGAGCACTAAGAGCACTGTGTTATTAATGGATAAGAGCAGATAAAATGGCAGGAATAGCTACGTAATACATCTGCTTTAAAGGGTTAACACTGATATATGAGCTCTGTTCTGATTGGCTGCCAAGTGCTGTACCCCCACCAAAAAGTAGTCTGTGTTCAAACACTCCTTATAACTTCAGAGTAAATGAGTATGCTCAACTGCTTGTTTCATCCCAAAGGGGCTTGACATCACAAAAATAGTTCATTCAAACCAGGTTTTTTTTGGAGCTTAAATTATGTTACCATATATGGGCTGTATGGACTGGGGAGTGAATGTACTTAAAACTTGAAACTTAAATGCATACTACATCAAACTTTTTTGTTTTTTAACAGAGAACAATCATGAATGTTTTTTTTTTCATGATGTGGGACTTTTAAGAGGAAATATATCATATGATGGGAACCCAGGCAGGCCAGAACTTCTCGAGTGGACTTATCTAATTTGTGGGTTACCTTGCACACATCTACTATCAATGTATGTAGACACAAGAATTTCTGAACAGGTGTTCATAGCATAACAGCCCTGCAATGTATTGATTTTGTAAGGTTGTAAATTTATAGCCTCCAAACCTCTGAATACTGCACTCAATACTGAGATTTTACTGCACTCGATGCGATGCAAGGCTATGAGAGTTAATATGAGTTTCCTCTAATTTTGGTCATCCATGGATGTGGTTGCTATGGAGTGACTCAATGTGCATTTGGCAAAAAGGTAGTGTGCCATGGCATTTTTGATTAAGTGGCTGTGATTGGTCTGGAATTCTCATGTGACCACATGTTTCTTGTGTGTGTTGTGTCCGCTCCATTCTGACATATTACTGCTTTCAGTTCTGAAATAGTGCTTGCCGCCTCAGCAGCAGCTTTGATAAATGTCTGCTCTGATTACTAGAAAAATACAGGCCTCTCAAAACAGGAAAGGAAAGAATAATGCAGGGCCCATAGGAAAGGTTTGTCACCGGCGTGACCGCACCATTACTTATGCCTGTTTTAGTTATTGCATGTGTCTGAATTATGGGCAGCCTGTAGGAGTGGTCAGGGTCCTCCTTATTCTTACTGGAGGACGTTATGTTTGGAGACATCTTTGTCTAATAGGTCAAATCTAAAAACAATTTCTGTCCTATTCTTTTTAATTACAGACCCCAGAGTTTATGTCCTTGTCTCTGTCTCACTTCATCCACAGGCCATTTAAGAGCTAAGCCATCATACGCCAGCTTCCATTTTCATGCTCTTTTGAATGTAAGCCACTGCGAAAGGACTCTATTATTCTATCCTTATGTGTTCCTTATGGCGGTTCAACAGCTTGTTTTGATTTGTCACTTTTGGAAATGTTTTGCTGCATGTCACAAATTGTTTTGATGGTTTGGTTGTGCTTGTCCAGTTCTCCAGAGGGAGATGGCTAAATAAGCCCTGGAGGAGTTGATCTAGATGATTTCATGTGACAAGCGAGGAAATGATTTGTCATCACTGATTTTCCCATTTGTTGGTGACAAGACTTGAGATGTATACCTGTGTCTTAATGTGGTTGTGTATGTTGAGCTTTAACCTCATGAGAGTACAACCACACAACTACATGTGTTAGATGTTACAGGGGACGGTTTTCACTTTGAACAAAACAGGCTGGCCTGGGCTAGAATGGAACATTGAGATTGGTGTCCCTAATAGACATTGATGGAGCATGTGGGCCACTTCCAATCAGAGTCAGCTGTCAGTTTGTTTTTGTTTGTTGAAGACACAATACAAGTTTGATTATTTCTTGCCTTAGTATCTTTTATTGTGCCATCATATGATAAAAAAAAGAAAAAACAAGAATTCTTAATAAAAAAAAAAAACATTTAACTCAGTATGTAGCACTCTAGTGTTAAATAAGATGGGCTCATCAGTTAGAGCTATCTGTAGATAGTTCTGCAGGTAGTACGTAGAGCTACTGATTGTAGTACATTCTTTTAAAAAAGTGACAAATACTGCTTCTTGGCCAAGGAAGATCCAGTTTAGGTTCCCTGGACATGCTCTTACACCCTTAAAATAACTGCTAGCAAGGGTTCCTTGAGTAATGCCATAGAAGAACCACTTTTGGTTCTCTAAAGAACCTTTGAAAAAGAGATTTGTGAGTGGGAAGAACCTTTTAAAGGTTTAAGGAAGCTTCACATAATGTTACCATTTTAAGGATTCTTTCTAGATACTTTAAATTATGTTGAGATTCTTACCACTCTCATTTACAAATATGATTCGTTAAGTAACTGTCCAGTCATTTTCAGTGATTCAAATGTGGTTCTTCTATGGCATCATGCAGAGAAACTTAAACAACCTCATGCTACCTACTACACCAAACCATGCAGGGTTGCACTTTTTAGATGCAAAGCACCTCATGGATTTGACTCACTCACTCATTCACTCACTCACTCACTCAAACATGTAACAGGCTTCACAAGGGAGCGCTCAAGTAGGTTTTGATGCTCAAACAAGAGTGGTGCTTCACATCAGTGACACTGTGCCCTTGTTTTTTCTTTATATGTGTATTCTTGCAATAATGTGTATTACATTTTCTGTGCTCCCTTCCCTTTTCTGTAATTGTGTGAGCCTTTCCCAGAACAAATACCTTGTTGGTGAACATTTACTTGGTTAATAAACAATTATGGTTCTGTTCTCTGTGTTAGCTGTATCCGAATGTATATGCTCTCGGGTTGAGACTCAGCCTCTATCTCTAAGTTGGTGGGCTGATTCTGAAGCACACTGCCAGAGAAAGCAGCCGGCTCTCTGGAGTAGCACTGAGATCAGGCCTATGATCTACTATTCTGTAAACACAGAGCTGAAATTAAACAACTTTATTTATGTACTGAGCTGCCAGGATGACTCACTACAGAAGACCTTTACCTGCCTCTGTGCTCATTTTCCTCAGAGATCCTTATATTGTATACTGAGTGGGAGAAAGAAGAAGCATCGTTGATGTATTGATTTCAGCTGGGCTCAATTTGACAGAAAATATAGGCTGCCCACAGGGTGTGGCTCTTATTACTTCAAACTGCCTGAATACAATTCCAGCTGACTGAAGTCTGCATGATTAAACACTATTCTGCTCATCTTTAGTGTTTAAATTATCAAAGCTGAATAAAGTTTATCATTTAACATGACTAATAATGTTTTTTTTCTCTTTTTCTCTCTGTTGCAGGACCTCCTGTAAGTACAGTTGACCTACCTGTTGCCCTTGTTGACTGGATTGTGGTAAAGTGACTCAAATTTTGTGACATTTGTGTGTTTGTGTGGTTGTAGAAGTGAGAAGATGAGTTGCATACCACCGTGTGGGTTTTACAGTCATCACACTCGCATATACTCGCACTTACAAATGTGAGACTGCTGTGATCTGATCTCAGTAAACAAAAATTCAAGTCGACTCACAAAATGATTTCCCTAACTGTCTATATATAGTATGAATGACCTTTTATTGATGTAATCTTCCTTCCTACTGTATAATCAGTCACATAAACACAAGGGTGTTGCTGTATTTAACAATAGCAGTGGCCTTGTAGAAAGGAAAGAATAATGCAGTTTATACATGTGATAAAGGAGTTGGACAGCACTTTTAACCCCTCAAACTTCACATGTCTTTATGTGCTTTTACACTTCAGTTCTTCATGTTACTCCATAGCTTACATAGTAGTTATTGATTAATTTATTAGGGATGTACCGATCATGAATTTTTATGGCCGATCCAGTTCCAGTTTTTTTTTACAGTCAAATGGGCAGATGGCTGATTTTCATTCGCTTTTTTAACCCAAAGCTCACACAGTTAATTTTATTGTTATACTTTATTGGTTCTACAATGGAGTTTTCTAATTTTGCTGCCTATCTATGCCCAATCTGTAAGCAGAATAACATCCTGAACAGAGCAGCATCACTTGGTGCAGAGGGGGTTTTTAGTGTCTTGGAGGCTCTCAACCAAGAATACCCAGTCAGTCCTGAGATTTGAACCCACAACCTTCTGCTCACGTCTCCTACTATTATTCACTCTTTACTCACTTTGTTTACTTCACAAGAATGTATAGTTGTTCTTAAGGTTAATAACTCGTAATAAGCATGCAGTTTAAGGGGCTAAACACCCATCAAGCCACTACTCTCTTGTACTCCTTGGACTGGAACTGCGGTGTAAAGGTGTATAGCTGTAGATGATTTTGCTAGGTTTAAGTATCTAGTAGGCACTGTTCTCTTGGCCTGTTTAGTCTGTCTGAAATACATCGTTCTCCTTTAGTTCCTGGAAGTCATCGGCAGGACTAAGAGTGAACTCCACTTACATTATAAACCTCTACACATGGACCTCGCTTATTTTATCTATATTAGAGCAGAAGTAACCTGTAGTTATAATTTCTAGTTAACCCTTAGAAGTTGAAAGCTTTTTTCCATACTGTTAAAATGTAATTACATCATTCTATTTATAATAATGTAGCAAGTCACACAATGAATTACGTTTACAATAGATTTACATTCTTGTCGACAGGTTAAAGGCTCTGTTTTATTTCCATTTTTGTTTCTTTCAGTCTTAATAAAAAAATGATCAAATCCATAGGATGCTTTTTCTTTCCTCAGAGCCAGATGGTAAATACATCAATAACTTTTCATCAAATTCAAATCATAATAAAATAAAATAAAAAAAAGGGGCAGTCGTGGGCTGGAGGTTAGGGAACCAGCCCTGTGACTGGAAGGTCACTGGTTCGATCCCCTGAGCCGACAGTACGTGACTGAAGTGCCTTTAAGTGAGGCATCTAACCCGCAAGTGTGCCCCCTGTCCCCTAGTGTGTGTGCATTCACTAGTGTGTATGTGGTGTTTCACTGCACGGATGGGTTAAATGCGGAGGTGAAATCCCACCATTGTGGGACCAATAAGGGTTGCTTAATCTTGAAATACACTTTTGCTTTTGTTGTCACCAGCCATAACTGAGACGTCTAAGGGTTAATGAGACCAAACTAGTGAATTTCAGGTTTTAGTTTGACTCAGGAGTACAGAGGACCTGGCTGTGGATGTGTAGGACATCTTGATGAGAAGAGGCTAGTAGCGGAGGGCAGGAGAGGACTAAAATTAGGTGCGGTTTTGGACAGCTGCGTCCCTGCAGAGAGAGAGTGAAGGTCGGGCTCCTGCTCTGAGCCCTGGCAGTGATTAATGAAACAACAGCGGCCACAGACAAATAACACAGAGCGACCTCAGTGCACTGGGAGAGCACACACGCATGCAGATGCACGTTCCAGTACCTGCTCATGAAGTCTAAACCCATTTCTAAAGGATTATGAAAAACTCCATTGAATATTCACAACATCGTACATTAACTTTGGAAACAAGGGAATATTTGAACTGTCACTCGTGCAAGAAATAATGTTTATATTCATCCATGGAGTCACATTAATCATTCAGGTCTCTTTAAAGTGACAGAAATCACTGGAACAGCAGGACTGTCACTATAGGACTAAGCTCAGAGTCTGCCAGCAGGAATTTTAAAAGACTAAGAAAAGAGAGACCTGTGTGTGTGCTTCGTTACTTGCACAAGCATGCACTAATTTAGTGATGTACCAATATACTGGATCAGTATCAGCACCATTACTGACCTTATTTAACAGATTGGAAATCAGTCAATTGCAACAGTGACATTTTTATAATTGTAGGACAACATAATACAAAACTGCACAGTCCTAAAAAGAATTTGTGTTTGACCATCTTGCTTATTTTATTTATTATATACTTAAGTGCCCTGTTGGAGCACTGCTATTGGGTCGATTCTCTGAGTTCAGGAAGAGAAAAAATAGAATCGGTGCATCCCTGCATCAATTCAAGACATGATCACATTATACAAAATATCCACGCTATGCACTTAATTAATACCAGAAATGTGAGAAAGAACAGTGGTTATCAAGTAATCAGTGCAGCTAAGGTGATGACCACCTACAAATCAAATGTGTTGCCTTTTATAATTCTGGGTAAAGGCTTTAACTGTCACAGCCAGTGATTAATTAATAATATGTTGTACTCTTAAAAAGTGTTTCTGCAGGATAAGAGGTAGACATTTGTAATAATCCCTGGGTAAGGGATTTAACTGTCAAATCCAGTGATTAATTGCCAATCAGCAGTAATGTGACTTAAGTGCTGTGCTCGTTTTCACTAGCGGTCCAATACTCCTGTGGTTTGATGGATGGTCTTAGCTTTCAGCTTGTCTGCTTTATGCTGATCTATTGCAATGGCCTCTGACATTTCTGAGAAAGGAGCAGGGAACTGAGGTACATAGATTATCCTAGGCCAAGTAGGCCTACGTTAAGATAACACAATTACAGGTGTGATTGCAACTGTACAACTTCAAGAAATTGGCCCTTTCCTGTTCTCGGAAAGTGAACACCTCGAGAAGTTTAAATACATAATAGGCTCTCGTTCTTCACAGGTCAGCACACGGGGGCATAGCCTTTAGCTGCATCTTAGGCAGGACTAGTTCAACACAGCCTTTAACAATCAGGACTGACATAAAGCTGACACCCATTAGAGTCTGCTCAGAAGGGTCCGATGTAAACCATGTCCCATTCAGATATAAACGTTAAAAAGAGCGGACTTGTATCTAAATTTAGGAGTTGGTTCCTCCTAATTAAGACCCCCTCCCCCATAGAAAGTAAAGGCAACTAGTTGGGTGGGTGGTTCTTAAAATGTACAGAACATATAACTATGTGCATATATATATTGCATTGAGACCCCTGTAGTTAATGAATGATAAGCCTCAGTATGTAATTTGCCTGGGCTTTTAAGGTAGTATGATAAGCTAGTTTGCTAGCTATTCTGCTGAATAAAACAGAATAGACCAGCATGCGTTGTGTTCTGGTCTAAGCTAGATAATGCTGGTTTCGTACTGGTTTAGCTGGTCACCCAGCATAGTCAAACTGGTTGACCAGCATACCAGCATCCAAAACACAACATGTGCTGGTTTTGCTGGTGATTAGAATAATAACTTCTGTTGCTGCTGACCAGTGTACCAGGATCCAAAATGCAACATATGCTGTTTTTTTCTAGCAGTGTATGCTAGCTTGCTAGTAAAATATTTAATGGGTAAGATTTCAGTACAGTTTACTGAAGCCTGAAGCACAGATGTGTAGTTAATATCCCTGTACAGTTGCTGTGGGGGAAAGACTGACCCCTCTGAATGTCACTATATAACTCACACTCTGCTAACAGATATGTCCAGATATGTAGCCAGTAACCTATGAGCTTGTGGTCAGTGGAAAAGTAACGCAGTGTTAGTGGGGAAAACATGTGGTATTATAAATGTCATAAATATTATTTAAAATCCTGACCTTTTCTTATAGTACAGTTATAAAGAGCTTATCCAGAATTTTTCCTCACTAAAAGATCTGAAAAGAAAGTCTTATCATCGCATAAGTCACAGTAACAAGCCAGACTTTTCACAGTTGTGCAGAATGTTTGCATTGCGTTAGTCTGTAGAGGAAGGACTTCTTCTAATTTCATAAAAATGTGCGTATTTATTCCAGTCTTACATTCAGTAGAAGTGAATGTGTGCATGTTTTGGGCCATAGCAGCCACTTGCCCTCATAATGCGATGGTGCTCTGGGGTATATTCACCCCTCAGACTCTTTCTCTTCATTGCCCCAGCAGCACTGCAGATCTAATGAGAGCCACATGTGCCCTGCTACTGTGCAGCTCAAATGAGGGGTTGTTTCCGGTGGGTGACCTTTGGCCTTGCCAGACGCTTCTCTTGGCCAGTCTGGGCAGCCACCCAAAAGCCCCTAGTGGCTTGTTCCCACTCAGCACCTGGGCTTGCACCTCAAACTTCAAACTACAGTGAAAAAAGTGATAAATAGAATTTACTTGAATCAAATTTATACATCATTTCCTATTGGAAATGTTTAAATATAGTAAATTCAGTGCATTACTTCTTTCAGTATACACACTCATGCAGATGCTTCTTCCCAGCCCCACACAGTGTTCTTGCACTCAGGTCTCCCTCTCTTACTCTGTAAATCGCACACATGCTTCTTCATAGGACACATACTTACTTGCATAACATGGCACCCAGCAGAGTCGTTCTCTCCTTTGCTCTATATGCTGCACATACAAACATTCCATACAGCTGTTTCCATCTTACACACACCTCAGACTACTGCTCTCGCAGACTTTCACATGCACATTGTGTCACTTTCAGAGCTCTTCATGATCTTACCTCTCCCACACACCTCATGTCTGCTTCTGTCACTCATATAAACAGAACTGTATGGTAGAGCTCCATCTCTTTTATAATAGGGCTGCATCATATGGACAGTATATCAGGATTATAGTGATATATTGCAGTACACTTGACAGTATAGTAAAAGCACATTTGTGAGTCAATAATGTATGATGTAAAATGGCTAACGATTGACCTGCCTTATGTTGATATCATTATAATAATAGACTTTATTGACTGTTGTTGTATTAAATGAATAATAGGGTCTGACTGATATGAAAACCTTGTGACCGATACTGATTTTAGGGACAAAATTTTTTGTGTTAGAATGTGTGATCTTCATGCTAAAGGTTGGGTTTGGAATTTTTTTTTTATGTTATGGCATTTCAACCATGATGCTGATTTTGTAAGTTCAGCCTGTATTGCTGTGATAGAAATGAGCATTTGAAACAGTGAAACAATGAATGAAACAGTTCTTTACGATGTTTACAATCATTAAATATATATATAAAATAATAATATATATAAAATGGTACGAGGGTTTAGTCAATACCAATAAGTTCATAAAATCTCAATATCAACCATTGTTATCAGCCAGCTCGCGTAAACACTCATCTGGAACTGTAATTGGTCATTTTTATAAGTGGCTTAGTGCTTTTACAAGCCACAAAAAGACATGTTTCATATGAATATGCTAAAAACATTTTCTCTGCAGCAGGTCATTGCTTAAGGCTGTTATTCAATTATTACTGAAACCGTTCCATGCTTGTTCATGGCTGAACACAACCTATTGCATTTCAATGGAGTATGGACAGATCAAAGAGCAAAGCCAGGAGATAGCAGCGAGGATGTTTTTGTCTCTCTATAACAGTTTCCTCTCAGGCTGAGTTTTGATAAATGACTTCCCTTTCTCTACTGCAGGCCAAGAAAAAGATACAGACACACACTCATACACACCAGACATACGCAGGGTGAAAGTAACCTACCACTGCCTCTTCTCACGACAGAGTGTCAAAATGGCTATCAGTGGAAAGAATATTACAATTTGAAAGATCAACCAGCTGTTATGGCTGTTCTGGCTGTTGTGAGGGTAGACTTATAAGCCACCACTTTAAAAAAGCCATTGAATGGCTTGTCTTTGTATTGAAAATAACAACGCAGAATACCTCATTTTCTCAAATCCTGTAATTTTGACCAATTCGTTTTGTGGTAGAAGAGCTTGATGGAGGGTAAAAGAGATCTCTGCCTGCACCAACTCAAAATCCGTCATATGTTCTTTGCATGTGTGTGCATCTGAACAGTTAGTTTCTTTTTTCATTAAGACATGTATTCTTTCATGTTGATAACAATACGTAACCCATGAGTAACACCATGAAAGCCTCAAATTTGCATCCAGTTTCATTCTTATTGGAAAAAGTAGAACATTAACCGAAAGAAACATGTTTATTGAAAAAGATTTCAGACGCCAAATGTAATAGAATCGGTTTGGTTTGGTGTTTGAGTGTTTTCACTGTTTGTCGAATGCTCTCAGTGTATGTTTGCCTGTTAGCACTTTCTGGCCTTGCCACGATGAAATCTCTATAATTTGATCAAAACTCTCTTTGCTTCATATTCATAATTCACATCACTAAAATCCTTCTAAAATGATACTGACTGATGAATGTAGAATTTTATTATGGCTTGGCTGGGTGTTTGGATGTTTGATTCATAATGTTGACAGGTTCTTTCTCTATTTTGTACCTATCTCTCTCGCCCTTTTTCAGGGTCCTCCTGGACGAGCTGGCTTTCCGGTAACTGTCTCAGAACTGTCCTGTTGTGTGTCTGTCTTTTTTCATGCCTGACACTTTCCCACTCTCTGGTGTCTTTTTACTGAGAAGCTGGCCCACAATTTATGCTACATTATGACTATTTACAAGATGAAGTAATCATATCAAAACTTCTACAATGTATAAATGCAAGAATCCTCGTGTTCAGCTTCTCTGAGACACACTGAGATGTTTTTTCAACAGAGTGACTGAGTACATCCAACTAATGTAATGACAATACAGCTATTGTCTACAGGATGAGCTCTCTTGATTGACCTAAATGTTAAAATAAGCCCTATTTTAGGTTGATATAGGCAGTCCAACTTGGTCATTGTTTAAACTGTGTGTTGTACATTGGTTGGTATCTTCTCAGCCCCTCTGCTGTTTACCTTAACTCTCTCTTTAGAGTTTCTGGTGAAATGCTAATATTACTAACAAAGACCCAAACACATCTGGTCCTCATCATAGCATGCTATAAGGAGGCTACCCTAGAGCTGAACTCTGCTCTAACCTGCCAATTATAACTGGCAAACCCCCCTCACTCATGACAGCTCTGCTTGTGAAACCCAATCATTAAACTTCCCAAAAAGAGGGTGAAATGGAAGAAATGGCTCACTCATTCAGACATTTTGTGAGATATGTTGACAAGTTTGGTCAAAGTTTGGATGTGACTCCTGCCATGATTTATGATTGATTGCACTATTAAGAAAACTCTTTTTTTCCATAGGGTAAATAGAGACATATACTGCATATAAAGCATAATGACGTTGGCGTGAATATTATAATTGACTTTTGATTATGGAGAACTGTGATTTGTTCATCTAAAGCAACTTTACACATTTGACTGCGAAATTGCGTCTGAGTTTATTTTTACTGTGATTGTTAGGTGATTCATTTCAGTACAGATGGGCCTTGTTTTGTGCTATAGCTTGCTGGATTGTATTTTTTTCTCCTATTTCTAAGTAGGTTCAGCTAAACATTATTTGATAACACTTTATTAAAGGGCAGCATTTACAAGGCTACATAACAGCTACATAAGCCTTGCATGACAACTGATATACACCTACAAAAACATTTATAAAGGCTTATTCCAGCAAATGTCAGTTGTTTCGCCAATTTTGATGTATTCACCTCAGTAAGTGTTACAACAAATGACGTTAAAAACACATGTTGAATCCTTAACTGATTTGGACTTCGGACTAAAATCCTTTGGCTCTGAGTATACCTTAATTATATTTATTTTATTAAAATCATGAATGAACATTCCAGTTTGTCACTGCCAAAGCAATCATGATTGTTTTTATATTTTTTATTTTTATTTTGCCTTTATTTTAAACAGACAAGCCAATAAGAACATATTTACAATGGAGGCCTAAAAAGCGCCGCAAAACACTTATAAAGAAAGGGAAAGGGGGGGAGAAAAGGAAAACCACAATAAACACACAAAACACACTTACACACGCGCACACACACACACACACACACACACAACAACAACAACAACAACAACAACAAAGAGAGAAAAAAAAAAAGTATAAACATGTACTAGTATCACTAGAAATATAATTGATGCAGCCCTTACAAGCAGTAATTGAAATAAAAATGTCCAGCTTTAGTGTGTCTTGTAGCTTGTTCCAGTCCTTAGCAGCAGCAAACTGAGATGATGAAGAGCAGAGGGCAGCACTGGGTTTAGGGTCTTTAACTTGATATAAATAAACGACCTACTGTAATATGTAGCATATTCTGGTTGCTGTAGCTCACCTAAGGGGGTAAAAGTCCAAGTAGAGTTTTAGAGATGAGCGTAAACCAGTGGATTTTATGTTGAGTAGTCAAAGAAGACCATTTGACCAGTGAGTAAAGAGCACAGTGATGTGTTTTGAAAGGGGCATTTGTAGCAAACTGTATAGCAGAATGATAGAGAGAGTCAAGCTTTTGAAACAAACTTTTGGATGCAAATCTATAAATGATATCACCATAATCAAACAGAGGAAGTATAGTTATTTGAATAAGCATGAATGAAGAGTGATTTCTATATAAAAAGCTGTTTACCTTAACTTTTAACTGCAGCTTAGAAATGTGATGGGAAAAGGATAATGTACTATCTAACCAGATTCCTAAGTACTTGTAAGTGTTGACTTCCAAGACCGTGTTTCGGTAGTGAGAACAGTCTTGAACAGTTTGAAAGTCATGATGTTTTTCATTAAAACACAAAGAAATGTATGTAGTTGCAGCAAATATGTATTTTGATAGTTACTGTTCTTAATGTTACATTACATTTTCAGTCTCTGGGGCACATTTACTTTAAAACAAAGGGATCTAACTGTTCACCATGTTCTGTGCTCTAAAATAAAGAAGTGTGGTTAAACAAGGATCCGACTGTGAACTGAAACTGTGTTTCAGCAGTGACATGCATAATTATTGTTTTAATTTAACTCATGATGCATCTCAATCTTTCAATTTACTTTAAAAAAAATCAAAACGATATCTTGATGATGTTATATACACACATACACCATCTAAGCTGCTTATCCTTCTGGATTGAGTCCTGGAGTCATTGGCCAGAAGACAGGAAACACTCTGGACAGGTCACCAGTAAATCACAGGGCAGACACACAGACATATACATTCGCACCTAGGGGCAATTTAGCATCTCCAGTTCACCTGACTGTATGTCTTTGGACTGTGGGAGGAAACCCACACAGTCACAGGGAGAACATACACAGAAAGGATCCTGGTCACCTAGCCAGGGAATCGAACCCAGGTCCTTCTGAAGCACTGTGAGGCAACAACACTACCCATTGCCAATGCCTTGGGTTAAAATAGATCATAACATAATCTTTGTAAATATATGGTCTGAATACTTGTTTTCTAAATAGTTTTTCACTGTGGGATCACAGTTTGAACTCATTCCACAGAATGGTCCATATGGGTTTGTCAAAGGCTTATATAGGTGTCATGTAGTCTTATGGACGCTGCCCTATAGTAAAGTGTTTCCCATTATTTTTTCATTCACAATCTAAATAATCCTAATGGATAAAATAAGGACAGGATTGTTACTTAAATAAGTATAATAATAAACAAGTATAATAGTTCTTAATTATTCTTAAAGAAGACTGAGACTAATCAGAATCAGTTTTATTTTGTTAAGTATGTTATACATTCTATAAATTTAGCATGAGTTGAGGTGAGTGCACACATGTATGACATGTTAAACACTAAACAGACCAGACAAGTATGCAAGGTGAAACAGACAAATATAGATAAAAAGAGCCAAGGTGTAAAAGGATGAGTTTGTGAATATGTATATATATGCAGAGTCTACAAGTGCAATGTGCAATGTGGTAATCCAGTGTGATAAAATGATACGTTATGGTACATATGATCTATTTTGCACAGTGGTGCAGTAAGGGGTGGGGTGTTGTGAGGTTCAGTTTAAAGTGCATTCAGTCTTGAGGTGGCTACACTAGAGAGCCTACTGTCAGCTGTAAGCTTGTATCTAGAGCATATTCTTAACAAGGCCTCCTTTGTGTCTTGTAAAGAGGGAAGAGTTGGGCAGATACTTTTGGCGGCGGTCTGGTTAGGAGAATGAATCCGGTCCAACTAAATCCCATCTTCCTTGTAAATACACCTGAGAGATGTCTACATTCCATCATTTTAGAGACATGTTTAATGCCTTTTCACTGACCTTTGGCCAGTCTCTGTCAAAATAAAGACTATTGGATCCCGGTCCTCTGCAGTCTATTGGAAATAAATTTCAAAAAGAGGGTGGGGGAATAATGACTACAAATAATGAACATAAAATGACAGGCACTGAAAGTTCTTGCTTCTTATCCAATGCACCAAACAAAAGAAGTATTTGGAAAAGCAGTAAAAAGAAGCAATGTTCTGTTAACTCCTTTATGGCTCTAAAGATGTAACTGTTGAGGAACATCATGTTTTTATAGAGAGAGGTGAAGTAATGCACTTTGAGCTCCAAATAAAGCCATTTTGAGGACTGGTATCTTTTTAAAGATTCAGTGACAGAGTACAAAGGGAAGCCAAACGTTTAACAGCTTCTAGATCATTTAGACACAATTGATATTTATATGTTTTTACTTATTGTTCATATTATAAGTCTTGCTTCATGCTACTTATGAACTTTGCCAAACCTAACAACTTAGCGTAGTTCCTCAGACCAAAAAGAACCTGGGTCAAACCTCAGGGAAGCAATACAAAGATCTTTTTTGTATTTTAATGTTTAGCTCTAGAACTTTAAAATGCATCAAGAATTCCATCAGCTACCTGTTAAGCACCACTTTTTAAGAATATGAAAGTCAGAACACTTATAGTATCCAGCTGCCACACTCATATGAAAAGGGTTTCATTTGTAAAGCTAAAAAAACTTGTCCTGGTACATGCAGAACCACAACACAGTAATCTGACAACGTGACTTCACACAGAGTCATAAAACTGAAATAGTATTTCTCAAAATCAGCACCCTGGACAGATCCAGCTGGATTCAGTCACCATTCCTCTGGGGACATTTACTACTTTTTAGCAGTTGAGCTCTAAAGGTCAAAGGACCTGAAAATTGGATTGCTTTACTCATGTATGCATTTTTCTTAGAACTTTAAATTCAAATTATTCTCATGGCAGAAACTATTATTATTAATTCAGTAGCCTTCAGACTGAACTCATAGAGTTGAAGCCACAGACCACTGCAGATTCCTTGTTTTAGTGGCCTTTGTTAGTACCCCCGTCTCTTTCCATGACACATCAGTAGAGTAAGACATCAGAAAGCTGTCACCACTGGGTGAAACCTATCACCCTCATGCACTCACCCACCCTGTTAGCAGCAGACATAAAAACAGCTTTAGAAAGGAAAATGTTAGCATAGTAAGTCATTTCAGTATGACATAAGTTTATGGTCATATTAAAGAATTAAAGCCATGAAAGAGTAAACACTAAATCAACTTTGATTCCCCAAGATAATGATCACTAACAAATAAATCATAAATAAAATGTTTAGAAACTAAATACTGTAGTTAGCTCCAAGTGTATACTATAATACGCTATAATATAATATTAGATAATCTTTAAATACACCTGCAGAGCTCATGAAAAGTTTGTTCTTTCTTCTTCAAAGTGAAATTTTCTTTCTTTTTGAAGTAATTACTATCTCACTCTGCTCTATCTGACCGTATTCAGTGCAAAATGAAGTCCAAACCATTGCTATAATATTTGTTCGGCCTTAACCTCATGCAGATGTGTATGACATACCTCTGCATGCTATGCAGGACTTTATCAGCCTCTTGAGAGACTACTGTTTTGATTTTATTGCTTTAGCACACAGTGGGCAGCATTTCAGTTCTTCATTTCAGATTCAGAATACAGCCTTAGGTGAAAAGGTGCAGGCTGTATTCCTCCTGCCACATACTATAAGAGTCAAACACTTCTAACAGTTCAGGCATGCTTAGCATTGCTGTCATCTGTTTCTTAGTCACCTCATCAGAATGGATTCTACGATGTGGTCAGCTACCAAATATCATGTCAACGGTTTTGGACGGACTGGATATAATAGTGAGAAAACGGACTGTATTAACCTCCTTATGCTCTTATTTGAATTTGAATAATCACTGATGAAGCTTGTTTTCTGACCAACTTTCTCTTTATGCACTTAATCTGGTCTTGCATAGTTGGGCATCGGCCCTTACGGTTCAGACAGTCTATGGCATGTCTGCATCATCAGTATTCAACCAGCTATTGAGATAATGCTTGGGAATCTAGAACACTGCATTAATGTCAGACTGGTCAGCTTGACTTTACCAACTTTTGTTTAAAAGTACTACATTAGTACTTTTAGTACTTTTGGAATACATTAAGGGCCAGTTTCCCAGTCCCGGATTAGGCCTAATGCTAGACTAAATGGGGTTTTTATGATAAAACCCCATGGACATTGCAGTTTTGTTCAAGACTAGGCTTAAATCCTGTTCACAAAACTGGTCCCATAAATTATATACAGTGCATATTACTAAATGATAAGTATTTGGGGAAGGGCTTGAGCACCCATAACTCTAATTTGTTTGTAAAGTGAAGCTGGTGGTAGTGACAGTAGTTTTAGAGATTCATTCTGTTAGAATCATTGTTCATCACTTTCCTCTTGACTTTGCATTGACCATTAGGGTGACAAAGGATCATTGGGCATTCCTGGAAGAATGGTGAGTGATTTGAGAATGTGCACTAGTAGCCCACTTAGTTAGTCTATACAAACTGACTATGGTCTCTTCAATAACTAGTTGCCAATGTTTAGTGGCATGCCATTCACATCAATGTAAAGTAAAGCTCTTAGTCATAATCACAAAATAAAATCATGCCTTCACTTTTAGGCCTACGGCTATAGGCACAGTTAACATGTGCAAAGTAATCTATTTATTTGGCATGGTATAATGAATGATACATAGAGTCGAATATACAGAAAATGTAATATGTCTGTTTGTTTAAATTGGCTTCTTCAGTCATAAGTTTGTTAGAGCTTTCAGTATAATGATATAATCATGTGGCCATTCGAATGGCCTTGTAGAAATTATCATATACTATCACCATCTGTGTAAACTCAGATGACTATAGTGATTTATCTTCCCCCATAATGATCAGGAAATGTCCTACTGTGCTGTGACAAATAGACCACACTCTCTCCATATGTGATTTGTAACATTTGAACAGGGTCTGAGAAACAGAGCTTTCATTCACTTTGCTTTATGACAAACACACCTCAAATAATGCCATTGTAGCCAGTGAATTCCTATGTCTTGAATAAAGGTTTTATCTATCCACTGTCCAATCAGAAGAGCAGGCAGGGGTCTACTTTGAGCTGCACATTATCTTTTAAGAGCCTAAAATCAGGGGCTATCCCAAGAGGAGCTTTTGGATGGGAAGCTTTGGATATTTACCAAACAGCCATGGAGATACAATACATGCATACGCATATTTCAATTTCAAGATGAGAAAAGCAGATTTCACCAAAGGCAACTCGTGATCCCTTGTCGAAGTCATAGTTTTGCCTCCTTGTTCACTAAGATTTGTGTGTTCTAAATTTGGACATATTTTCAGCCCAACTCAACACACTGTGTATTATTACAAAAATCAAGACAGCCAAAATCTTCGTAGGGCCGTACATGAGCCTCTGCTCCATCCAGTAGTTTTTTTTGGAAAATATTTGACATTTTCAGGCAAACTAAGTGAAAAAGTAATTACTGCTATAAATAATAAAGCTACAGAGGTGGTTTCCAGTCCGGCTGATTCATAGCGGACCTCTGGTACTCCTTTGGGACATTTTAGCATTCTGACCATTTGTGTGGTCACTTTTTCTTGACAACAGTTCCTCTCTAAAAGCAGATTTTAGCAGCGTTTAACTCCTACTGTGAGCCCTGAACCAAGCACCCCATATTTCACCCAGTGTTTAGCTACTATGTGGTCCTGCAGATTCTCAAAGGAAGTTTTTTTTATACCTCCCCCCAGACCTCCTCCACTGACCAGTCTACTTATGAGAAAAGTTAGCATTCCCCTACTGTCAATTAGTCTAGCGCTGTGTAATGCCCTAGGGCTTCCATGGCCTGAATCACACTGAATATTCCCATCCCTATATCCCTGCTCTCCTGACCCCAAATGCTCCGATTCCTCCACATCCCAATGCTCCCATTTCCCAACTTTCCAAACGCCCCCACTCAGGCTGCTGCATGTCCGTGTCCTCTCCGTGCCTCTCTAACCCCGGTTCCTCTCTCTGTCTCTCTCCTTCACACTATGCATGTGACTGTGTCTGCTGTGACTGACCAGGGCTTAAAGGGAAACACGGGGGAAAAGGTAAGTGCAGGACGGCAGCCTGCCTGAGCATAACCGAGACTTCTTTCACTGTGGGTGGTTGGGTTAATGTGGAAGGAGAAGGCTTAGCCCAAAGTACAGTGCAGGCAGGTATCATGATTTATATCAGGGAGGCTTTGGGCTTTATTTTGAATGGCCTTGAGGGGGGGTACTTTCTGAACACGTTTCCCACAATGGTTGGATTACCTGCGTTTATTCTCTGTGAAGCAGCTCGGTAAAAACTGGGCTGGAGTTTTTGGATCCCTTTATTAAAAAACTCCCTGCTGTAAAAAGAGAAATGTTTGGAATGGACGAGGTTTAGAAAGACTATCCACTCATTTCAAAATCCCATTTGGTAGCTCTGTGTACTTTCCATTTACTGTTATCGGGACAGTCACGATTTTAAATTCGATTATTCACTAAAAAAAGAAAAAAATTAAGTTTGGCAGTTTGCATGATGGCACTGCATATTTCATTATAAGAAACAGAACTTGATGGACATGCGAATTTAGATGCATTTCCAGTCACAGAGCAGTTTTAAAGGCTTCCTAATGTACGCTTTTCCAAAAACGTATTTTAAAATCTTTGAAAGGCTATGCATAGTTTGTTATCAGAGTGGTTTGATTTAAAGTGATTGATTGTGGACAAACGTACTGACTCTTACTGATTTCTCTTCAGCGGTGGTGATTGAAACAAGGAGTCACAATTTTTAACAGCAATATAGCCATTTTATTTAATTTTTCAAAACAACTAGTGAATCTACTTGTCTTTTGACTTTTTATATGTAATGTTTAAAAAGGTTAATCTGGGGGAAAAATAGTTTTCTTTGGATACTATATTGACTGTTAACACCCTGCATGTACCTCACAGTTTAGACCAAAGTCTTTTCTCAAAACTGTTGTACACCAATGTCTCAGGTATCAGAAAGCATTCATAACCATTTCACGCAATAACTTTCTATGAGGGAGCTTTTAGATGCATCAAATTCTTCAAAAATCTAGTTCCTATCACCACCTCTGTGAACAATTCTGACTCTGTAAATTTCTCTAGAACAGGGCATTTCAGTCCATTCTTGTTATTTGGCCTTTTAAAAGCTCTGATTACTTCATAAATAATCAAATAATTGGTAGATTACTTTATTACTGATATACTCTATAGTGATAGCCTGTTATTTTGTCTGTTTGTGCCAGTATTCATGATGATGAGGAATTACATAGCCATTACATTGCCATTGGAATTTTTGTGTAGTTGTTGCTAAACCAAAGATTGACAGTCTAGGCCAGTAGTTCCTGTGATTTGTGGTGCCTGAGGCAGAACATTCAGAACATACATCTAAAGCAGAAGCATGTAACTTATCCTTCACTGCCACAGAGTGGTAGCGTACAAGTCAGTTAGGCTAGCATTCCAAAAAAGCATGGTTTTGCTAGACCGTCTCTGGAATTATGGAGAACAAGAAATAGTGTAACCACCAAGTCTGGAAGTGGAGAAGCAGACAAGGTATGATCAGATCCTTATCCAAAACAATCGGTGACCTTTTTTCATGTTTCTCTGCACAAGTTGTTTCAGGAGTTCATTTTTAGCCACTCTCTTTAAGAGTGGTTAAGGCTTAGTTTCCTGCTGGGGAAAGTCATGATTGGACAGTAGATCTTGGTTATAGATCTTCATTAGATATCAAAACAACCTCTTATGCTGCACACGCCGGCGCAGACTTGGGGAACTGCACTAGCCCTGAAATTGGCAAGCTTGACGTCTTCCACTTAACAAAACCAATATTGAATTTTTGGGGGACACATGGAAAGGCAGAGAGGAAAAAGCAGGTTAATCAGTGATGGATTGGTTTTGTCTTTCAAGGAACACTGACATAACACTGTGTTTAGCTTTGTCGCAATGGATTTCTTACAGGAGGAGATGAAATCATCTGAGCCAACTTTCATTACTGTGGTAGAACCTTAAAATACAGCGCATTTTCTTTGCCTGTTTCCTGGGAAGAATTTGCTTTGGCTGATTATATTTGGACTCTTTGTTACTTGGCCATTCCAAGCTGCCAAAGACCTGTAACTTAAGCCTCTAAGAAGGATATCTCTAGATCTTCAGTTGTCCAATTGCACAGATCTCTGTAAGATTCTGTGGGTAACCATAAACCACAAGGGCAAAGCTTTCTTTTCTCTCTGGCCTGAATTGGCCACTGCCTGGCTTGGGCAGCATCAATCTCTCTCTCCGCTAGCCAGGAAGGGCCACTGATGTACAAAACCTGAGTGTGAAAACAAATACGCCCCCTGGATAAAACAAGCATTTGCTCAGAAACATTAAAATCACCTGTAATTTGACGGATGCCTGGGTCATCAAAGATGTCTCCCTGATAAGGTTTCGCGAGAAAGAGCTAATTAGGGAAAGTGCTGGAAACTCGATAGCGTTCAGGTCTGGCCTCAGAGTTTTGTGGGATTGAGCTGGGAGGCTGGGTACGGCATTATAGACTGGCTGACACTGTGCAAATCACCCAGGTTGTGCCAGAGAACCAGTCCACTGGGCCCTGCGCTGTTTACTCTGCAGTGCTCCCCAACCCTCCCAGCAGTGCTGTCAAGACTTAAAGTATGACCTTGAAACAAGAACCAAGAACGGAGTCTGCTGAAGTACTTTTAGCCCAAAAAACGCGTTTACCACACAGGCACATGCATGTTCTCTTAGCAAGTGTCCTAAGACTGCTGTCTGTGTGTGGAGGCTTAGTGGCAAGAGTTATGTTCAACAGATGTCACAGGGTGTTTTAGAGAGAGTTTTTCTGGTGCATGTATATTTTCACTGAGTGCTGTATTTGGCCTTTATATTCAGATGGTAGATTAGAGAGAGTCCCACTTTCTTTCTCCTTTCTGTCAGTTCTTCTCCTCATCACCTGTCTATCTCTGTATCTGTCCTTAGGGAGCACCAGGGGAGCCAGGTCTGTCTATCATTGGCCCACGGGGACCTCCTGTAAGTGTTTTCACCACCACTAATACTATCTTACAGTACTTCCAGTCAGTCTCTGTAAATGAAAGATTTAGCTTTTCAGATTTTGCAAAGCAATATTTTGTTGACTTTGCTATGTTTGGCATATTTTCCAAATCTCTAATAGCTTTTCACTATTTGAGGAACTGCCGTTCATCTCATTTTTCATGCTGGGATACAGATTTACAACTCCCTTTTTGTGTACATGGGTTGGTTAGCATGGATAAATCACCATGTTTGTGTCACACCTCTAACATCTGAGCAGTACTCTGTCCAGAAATTTGCAAGGTTTTTTGCCCAATCAAGCACACAAATGCCTATTCTCTGTAGCATGCAGCTCTTCCAATGGAGATGAATTAGACAGAAATCCCATAGCAGGTTGCATGGAAATACTTAGGCTTTATTTGAGCACTGAGGGGCTTTGATTTGCCAGTAATGATGGTCATTTGGAATCCCATCTTCATTAGGGAGAGAAATGAAAACATCCCGACCTGTGAGATAATGATCCAGACACTAGACTCCTAGATTGCCTCTTATTGTACTGCGTCTATAAGCGAATGGTTGGACTCCAGATGAAATGGGGCTTGTCCCAAAACCCCGGCACCCACTTGCCTTCTACTCCCCACATTCCAAGCAGAAGTAAGACAAAAGGCTAATGTTTCTCCCTCAGAAGTGCAATTTCCTTTCTGATTATGCTGTGAAGGGCTTTGGCCACGCTTTGTCCTGTGGTTTCACAATCCATCCTCCAGCACTCCTGGCTGATGGGCCGGGGATACCTTATGGCAGGGCCGGCAGACTGTTCAGGCAGGAGCACACATCTGGTTTTCAGCTTGCTGATTGCATGCCTCTCTGTACCCTCAGCCCACCGCTAGTAATAAGGCATTAGGAGAAGACAGCAGGTCAGGACAGGAAGGGTCGTGGCAGAGGGAGGTGTCAGAATAGGATAGCTGTAGGGGGGGGGGCTTTTCCAGCAGGTGAAGCTGACAGCAGGAGCTTTGTGCTGACCTGAGAAGGGTTCACAGGGGTTGATTTGAAGAAGAGGTGTGGAGAGGCCAGCGGAAATGATGGCTTAAATCAACCAGGTGGACCTGACTGGGCGGCCACACTGTGTTGTTCACACACAAATGAAGAGATTATAGAAGAGACAGAGCCCTCATTGCCCTCATTGATGACACGGTCTTAGACTGTCACTACATGTCTACCATGATTTCACTGTTGTTCTTTTAAAATAGTATGTTCTTTAAAGAAACTGTATACTGGCTCTGTCGTAATAAGGCCTCATATCTTCCAATAAGTGACTTTATATAACTTTAACATAGGTTAACGTAACAAGATTTTATTCTAAGTAATGTTGCACCATTTAGATCCATCCAGTTGAAATGTGTATACAATATAAAGGACATTGCATGTTTTCAGTTTGTTTTAAAAAAAAAAGCAACTGGTTTTATATGTTAGCAATTATATATAATCCTGCATCCTGCAGGTTTGTAGCCCAGAAATGCAACATGCTGTCAGTCATTTCCCCGTCATTTTCTGAACTCCCAGGCTGCTATTTTCACTATTCCAGACCTCAGATTTGGTTTCCCTTGGGAGAGAAAATCTTCTGCGTTCTCAATAACTACCTGAGAGCCAGACATATAATCTCTTTCATTAGCTGCACTCGCCTCTTCCTTGTAATTTCTCCCAGTTTTCCTTCACTGCCCACTGCCCCTTTCTTTCTGGGATATTGAATGGCTTCTTCCTGTCTCAAGGGCAGTAAAAGATTTTCCAGCAAGGCAGAATGGGTATTGTGTTCAGGGGAATGTAGCGCTAATCGTTATTGACATTTACGTATTTCATTTGTTGACTTCCACTTTGGGTTTCGTTTATTGGATCAGTGCAGTCTTGTTTTGTTTGCTTTTCTGTATGTTCACTCAAGTGTAGGATTTCAGCGTGTACTCCGTTGTTTTATCCCAGTGTTGATTCTCTTTCCCCATCCCACACAGAGTGCTGCCAATGGGCACCAGGGAGTCCTTCTATCTTTCAAACTCAATTACAACACCACACAACTGAGCTTCAATAGCAGTGGACTGTGCTATTTAACACTGACCTCGTCTCACCAAGTTCACATCACTCTTCATTTTCTGTGTATGTGTGCGTTTGAGTATGTGTAGCTTTGTGTGTAGGAGTGTGCACTATTGCGTCTTTGTGTGTGTGTTTGTGTGTGTATGTGTGTGTGTGTATGTGTGTGTAGAAAATAATCCAACTGCTCCCTTTCTCTTTGTGTCTCTATTCAGGGGCAGCCTGGGACTAGAGGATTTCCTGGCTTTCCGGTATGTCTCTATGACCTTAACTATAATTAGCAAACTAGTTATTGCTATAACTTGCAATAACCTGTTTAACTAGTTAAACAAGTTATTGCTTACAACCAGTCTAAATTAACATACGCTGTCATTCAGTTTAGAATCAGTGATTTCAAAAATAAAACCAATTTGAATGCAGACACATGTATAAAATCCTCCTAAAATATTAGATCTTTGCAAATCCACAATAATAATAATAATAATAATAATAATAATAATAATAGTAGAGCTGTAGAATGGAGCTGTAGGTGATTCTGAAGTGAATGAGAAAGCTACATAACATCAGTTATAAAATTACTTTCAAATTAAGATCCAGAATGCCTCGCCTTTCAAAAACCATACATTATCTTTTGATTTAATATCTTCCTGAAATATTAAATAAAACATCTTTTTGATGTCTAGTTAATAACATTTAAATCTATATTGTATTATATGTTTGCATTGAGTTATTTTTGTATATAAAATAACAAAGATTATGATGAGTCATTCCAAACTTTTGAACTGTAGTATAAAAATAAATAAAATCCAGTAACTGTTTAACACTGTTTAACTGTTTCACATGGGTGTGTTTTTGTTCTAGCACAATTTTGACTAGCCTTGCTATTGCTTGACCCTATAATGAGCCTCTATAATCAATTATAATGAGCAAACATGTTGATTTTATGTAGCAAAACAGCTGAAACTGTACTCTATGCTGATAGTATAAAGCAAAGATCTTCCAGTCTGGATCCTGAATCCAGTTCCTGGGTGTTGTAGTCTTTGGTACATGTGACACTAGGTGGCCAATCAGTTAATCAACAGGTAACTAAGCCTGATTACAAAATACAGGATCAGAAACTAAATTGAAGGTCTAAATTTGAGGATCTCTAGTATACAGTACAAGAATTTAGTATTAAGAGCCAATATATTCAATCACCTAATCCGTAGTTTGACAAAGTGGCCTTGGCTTAAAGGCTCTTTTCAGGTGTTTATTACTAGCCATAACGAGTGATCTGCTGGACACACACTCTGGGCCCCTCTAGAATACAGTAGCCTCACTGTTCCTTCAGCGTGCTACTCTTTTCCGCTTGACTTGTGCCTTGGCCTGACCTCTTGAGGAAATACCATTTTTTCCTTATAAACACCCTCATATCAGAGTAGCAGTCTAGACAGCCATGTGAATGCTCCATGCCCTCTCATTAAAGCCAGTCTACTTCTGCTCCCCCTCTCTCGCAGGGTCCCATCGGTTTGGACGGAAAACCCGTGAGTTTCACCTCACTTTTTGTAAAACGTGCTTTACACTCATTCACCCATTTAAATTCACCCATTCACTTTTGAGACCTGAAAGATTTTTCTGGAATGGTTTGAGGCTAATTGATAACACTGGTCATTACGATAATGATGGGGATAATTGTGTTAATAATGATTATAGCAATTTTTCATTATAATTTGACTATTATTGCCACAATAATGACATAGAATGAAATTGGTAGTGATATGTATGTACACAGTGACTCACCATCTGCCCTGAGGAAATAATAATTTAAGTAATTACTGTGACAAATGTTTTTGTTTCATTTCTACAGGGGCAGAATGGCCTGAAAGGGGATATGGTAAGCTTGCCTTGTGTATATTTGAAAAAGATCAACTGTGCTGCAGTGCAGATATTCTCTCTATTTCAGATGTTAAATATTCAAACTTACTGTGGATTCTAGTGCTCACAAGGCCACATATTATGAACCCTTGTGTTTTCTTCATGCATTGTGAAATACTGCATGTCTAAATCCACCAAGACAGGCTTTCAATCATGCACAAAAGAGATTATCATAAAGAGAAATGTGTCAGAGTCCATAAAACTCAGCAGTAGAGCTCTTTATTTCGAAGGTGGTTTGTATCATTGATGTTTATTTAGCTCTGTGAACGTGGCCACATGATTCTTCTGGGAGAACAGTCGTGTTCTTTGATTTATTAGCTGAGTAAGTCGATAGCTGTACGATGCCAGTGTTTTGGACAAGGGGAACCATTTGTCGATCTCTCTGTGAACATGTTTTGTCAGAAGTGACTTTTAGCAGCTCCTTGAGTTTTCTGTAAAACTTTGGCAGCAGCTTTATCAAAACATAGTGCTTTGGATCTTAATTATAAGAATGTTTTCAATAGTCTGCTGCTACGATGCTGAAAGGTAATACGCTTATATATACATTGCTCCAAGCTACTGAATTCCAGAGTATTGGTCATAAAATACAACAAAATGACTTTTTCTTTTGAAGTGCCTGCAGAAACAGGAAGCCATGAACAACCGTGCAAGTGAAAAAGCGAGGCAGTCCTCCAACGAGGTGCCATGAATAAAAGTTAGCCCCCCTCCATCATTGTGACACCTTTATGGGGTCAACGTCGCTGCTGAATGGCCCCCAAAGAGCTTTTGAACGAAACACAGTGACTCAGAGACTACGAACCCACCTTCATCTGGGATTTTGATTTACTCTTTTATTGACAGGTTCCCTCTCAATTTCAGCCTCCTACTACTCTCTCATTCTGCTCAGAGTTCAGCTTAGAAGCAGATTCGCCAGTGTTTTTGGATGAATATCATGGCACCTTGGAAGCTGCAAGTCATTCCGGCCGTTTCATCGTTCCAAATGACACTAAGGCACTTAGTGTCTACGTTTAAAGTCATTAGTTATTTTTTAGAGTGTGCAGGTTATCACACGAGGATTAATTTTATTGGAGGGCATTGGCAGCTTCCTTCTGAGCACACTCAGCTGCTCTTTGGCTCTGGAGTGCTGCCGGCCTACAGAAGCTGACTCCCACCAGCCAAAACAAATTACATGGCTGTCCACTTCAGGTCTGAACCAGAATGTCTACTGCTGATGCAGAATAGCTGAAAAATTGATTCATGTTTTTACTGTGAGCCCCTTTCCGCTTTTCCTTCCCCAGCTAAGTCAAGGAATGTTTTAAAAGGCACTGAGAGATTTCATATGAAGCACATTTGCCAAACTGTGTTGGAATGGACACTGTATTAATTTATTCCGTTTGGATATGCTGTACTCCTCTTGGTTTGGGATTGTCAGGTGTTTATGTTCAAGATATTTAACCAAGGACATATATAAAATCAAAGATGGCACAATATCACTTTTTCTCTTTTGTTACCAATGCTGACATGGAAATCTTGCATATCAGCTGATACTGATGCCAGTTTTTTTCTGAAAAATATGCTGTTTTTAATTCAAGCACTTCACTTTAACTGCTAGAATAAACATTCACATATCCTATTGGAAGAAATACACAGACAACAGCCTGTACAAAACCTCAGATTTTTTGCTGTTGATATTAGCTCAGTATCAGCACTATGTATCAGATCTGTGCTATCTCTTTGTTAAACAAATCGACAAAATAAATATCCATTAAAATCAATAACGGTATGCTTATTTTTCCAGGGTCCCCGTGGTCCCAAAGGACTTCCTGTAAGTATATGCCTCCTGTGCTGTGCAAAATGTAAATAAAACAGAATTTAATGATGTGCAAAAAATGTAAAGATAGTTACTTGAAAATAGTACAAAGACAACAGACAACAATAAACTGAGAAATTTTATTGTGTTTTGAAAAATGTATGCCCATTTTAAATTTGATGCCAGTTTTCAAAAAACAATAACATTTCTCATTTTGATTTGCTGTCTTTGTACTAGTTTCAATTAAATATAGGGTTTAAATGATTTGCACATCAGTGCAGTATGTTTTTAGTTACATTTTACACAGTATCCCAACATTTTTGGAAATTAGTTTGTAGTTGAAGTACTGTGTTAACGCATATTTTCATTCTAGGGCGAACCAGGTCCAAAAGGCGAGAAAGTAAGAAAACAGTTTAGGTTTATACAACCTGTTTGTATAGTAAATAACAGTTATACAAGGAGAAGCTCTTACAAATCATGTCTATTTATGTGTTTTTCAGGGCGTGTGTGGTGATTATACACACCGGGTAAGCAAATACTTTCCTTTGTCTCTGTACAGCTTTGTGCAATCTGAAATCTCTGTTGCATTTTGAACCTTTGAGAATTCACCAGCATCTGTTTGTGTTACAGCTTGTACTGTATGTTGATCCTCTATTTACCTCAGTAATTTGTCCCGTTTGCCCCAAAGAAGATATAAACAGAATAATTGCATGTCTGCAAACTGAAATGAAAAGAGGAAGAAAAGAACAGTGGATTGACAAATTGCTGTAATCCATGATGGGTAGCACATGTAGTGCATGTAGTAGGAGGCCCTCAGCGCAAATCAGTGCTTCCTCTAGGGGAACACCATTCCACTGCAAACAGGACAATTATACCAGCAGCCTACTGTAACAGATTTGATAAGAAAACAATGTTGCCAAGAAAACGACTTTCTTATGTGGTGTAGGATTTTTCCAATGGTTTTGACCAATTTAAAAGTCATTCAGTACTTTTATATACAGATACGTTCCTTTTTCTGAACTCTAGCTCATGGCAGAAATGGCACGCAACAATAAAATCTTACCTGGAATTGATAATAAAGACAACCTTGCTGAAAATACATTTGCTATAAAAAATACACAATAGAAATAGACAACAATAGATAAAGAGAAGTTGTTATAATTAATCAAAACGCTTTTAACAACAAATTTGCTTCAAACATAAAAGAGTTTAAATCTGATGAAAAGCTATTCTAGTGTTTGCAGTCTTGTTGTGAGGAAAGAGAAACCATCCTTTACATTTTTGCCACTTTTTTTCTTCATGAAAAGTCTCAAGACTCAGAATGTAAATATAATTAATTCTACAACTATATAATTAATTGTGTAATTAAATACTTGCATTTAAAGTTCAGGAGAAGGACTATATTAACTCAAGTTTTAAGGGTTAAGACTAATTACAGGGAGCAAATATCTCTGGGGAAAACTGAACTAGGTCTTGTCAAGCAGGTTGCAAGGACAACAGCAAACTGAATGAGGGGCTCTATATGGGAGGTCTGTGCTGGTGGGTGGTTACATAGGGGTCTTTACAGTTATTTTGGAAGGAGCCAAGAGGTTGACTGTGTGCAAGATTGGAAGGACCACCTCTTGAAACAGAGATGGGAATCACTGTGTGTGCTTGTGCGTGTGTGCGCGCATGTGTCTGTGTGTGTGCGTATTGGGCCACTTTAGCAGGGTCTTCCACTGAAAACTCTGGCAGCGTTACGCTCCAGTCAGGCTCTGATGTTAAAGGTTTGTGGGGTCCTCCCTGTCCCTCATGCCCAGAACCGTGTGTGTTCCAGCCCTGCTGCAAAGAGAAAGCCAGTCCAGGCCTGTCCTCTGACTGAGCGCACACGAGCCTGCCACTAAACAACATGCAATACTGAAACAGTGTGCTATGTATACGCAGTGTTGTCTCTTCTTTTCTTTTGGGCCTTCTCAATTCCATGGGACTTTTTGTACTTGTGTAATGGTATGCTTAAAGGTGTGCTGTAACAGAAACTGTGTTCATTTGGGGCTCTCAAGTGGTGCAGCTGCCTAAGTGTTGAATCTGTCGTTGGGAGAAGTTCCATCCCCAGCGATGCCACAGTGATCTATGGCCAGGAGTCCAAGAGAGCATACCTCTCTCTCTCTCTCTCTAGCTGATGTAACAGCATTAGCAGTTAATGTTCTCCTCCAAGTGCATTAAGCTGTCCAGGGAGGTTGTGTTATTGGTAGTTTGAAAAAACACAGTGGCATCTCATGTGTCTTAGAGGAAGCATATGCTAGCCTTCATCCTCTCAGCATCATGTTAGGTGAACTAAATAGTGGGCAGGAATTGGCCACAACTATATTGGGAGAATGGGGAAACCCCCATACCACCACCCCAAAAAAAGGAAAAAAAAACTATGTACATTTGACATTTGAAGTCATAATCAAAGTCAAATCTTTTAGCAACTCTATTAAATAGTAAGATAGAATATTAGTTGCATTGGCTATGTGCATTTCTGTTCCATCCACCAGTGATTTAGTTCAAAATTTGACCATTTTCATCATAGCACACCTTGAAGCATTTTTGGTAATTATAGTGAAAATCGCTTCTTATGTAAGGGTCAAACTGAGAACACTTGCCTACTTTCTTTGTTTGCATTTCTTACTTTTCCTCCAAATTAACTGAAATTAGGCATGCTTTGAATAACAGAATTTATTTTTGAAAACTTTTTTTGCAATTACTATGAATCAATTGCCTATTGAGACGTGAAATGCAAACATATTACAGAAAGGAGGCAAGCTGTATTCAGTCTTAAGTAAACTACTATACATCAGTGGGAAATGGGCCAATAACTCTTCAGTCTGTACTTCATTATGCTGGTGATTTCAACAGAAACGGCGTATTGTCCACCCCTGTGCTGGAGGACAGGCCACAGTAAGTCTGTTGCTAAACTCTCTTTGTGGCAAGACTGAAGCCAGCCTGATCTATACAGCACTGCTGCAGGATCCAGCAATAGAGTCACAGTGGAGATAATGGATCCAAAACCAATTTCATTTATATCTGGTTCCCAACACTTATGTCATCACTGCCATGTAAAAAACTGTTTTACTCCATTTTAAAATGCCAGCTGCTGTTTACATTGTGTGAACACATCATGATGAATGCACCAATAGAAATAAAATATATTTGCATGAACATACATAACAGACAAGACTATTTGTTGCTTTTCTTGTAAAGATACCATTTCAAAGATACAAGATTTTGTTACAACAGTGATGACCTGCAACATATAATTTGGCTTCCGATTTAAAAAGATTCATCTCCACTCTTCACTCAGATTGCTGGGTCTTGTGTATCAGTCCTCATGCCTCTTTCACTCTTTCTCTCTTTTCCACCTCTCTCTTGGCCTCTCTCTTTCTCTCTCCCTGCCTTGCTGTTTCCCTGCAATTCACTATCGTTTTCACTTGTTTCTCTATTTCTTTTCCCTCTTCCCCTCTTCCTTTTTGCACCGCGGCCCACCTGTGCTTTGTGACCTGAGCAGATGTTGCCCATCACCGTGCGCAACATGCCCTCAATAAGCCCTCTAATTCTAAAGCGCCTGAAGGTACATCTATCTCTGCCGCCCTCCTTATCCTCTCCCCCCCTCCTCCCACCAAGGATGCCAACCACTGTCGACCAACTGCCAGCCAAAGCCCTGGCCCATTAGTAACCCTCTCTGGCATGGGCGTGTTTGCTAACCTTCTCACTCAGCATCGGAAATTTGAGAATAGGACAGGAACTGTTACACACGTTTATTGAGCTGTTCCAGCTGCAGTCAAATAAATCTGATTTATCTGAGATTTTTACAATAGTTCAGCAGTTTGACCACTGAAAATACTGAAAGGCTCTTTTTCAAAGCCACGGGTGTTTATAGCTTGATGCCTAGCCCAGAGGGCCAGCCTTTTGTCTTTCCTTCCTTCAAGTTCAAACAACTGCCCGTGTGTGTTGACACTGGGCCAAAGAAAGCATTCCTAGAAATTGAAAATCTTCCGTCCTCGCACAGTGATCCCAATGGAAATGTCAGACAAGGAAATGTGCAATTATTAGCACACTGACAGGAAGCTATCTGGAGAAACTCAAATATGAAACACTGTGTTTTTTTTCCTGTGCTTTCAGTGATGAAAGGTTTGAAAACGCAACTGCCACAGAGGGTTTAGAGCCGACGAACGAGACAAATGATGTTATCTCAAGACCCATTTCCATCACATCCTCCTAGAAAAGATTTTGTCTCGTTGACATTTGTATAAACCCGTCAAGCACAGAGAGCATCGATTTAGAATTAGCGCCTTGGAGAAAGCAAGTGTTAGGAAAAATCCCATTCTGTAATCCGCATAATGTCAGTGTAAAGATAACAAAAGTATGAGACGGAGAGCTTATTTGGCAGCAGAACGAGGACTCTCCGAAGGGGTATGCCAGCCCTCTCTTCTCCTCTCTCAAAGCCTCTCTGTGCATTCAGACTTCTCTGGCCTAGTCCAGATAGGCCTGGCGCAGGCTGACCCCGGCTGGCATCCACCCTCCATCTTGTTTCTACAGGTGTGCTGTGTGCGTGCCAGATTAGGGCACCATGTTTGGAGACAACGGTCCACACTGTGGAGGGCCACTGACTAAAAGCAGAGTGGAAATCCCTCCACCATTGACTGGCTGGGCTTTCTGAGCTGGTTCCTGCCTGTGCTCTGGATAGGGATAGTGGAATGCTTCGTTTAATGGATCTGCATCTGGGATAATAAATCATGTCTAGACATCTCCTGTCAAGAAATAACTGGACAAAATATGGCCTCTAGGTTGATGGATGGGTTTCAAATTTATCTGGATTTTAAACTTAGCTACCACACAGAAGCAATGCCTCCTTTTAGCATCCTATCTAGTATCATCAATTACTAATTGGAGTTGCAGCCAGATCACCATAGTTTGAGACTTTTTGATGATAGAAGGAAATGAATACTAATCTAAATTTAGTACTTTTAGTGTGCTGTTACCATCAAGGCTCCTTTTATAATGAGGAGACCAGACGTAATTATTAGAGCATCAGAATTTGTATTCTAAGTCATCACCTTTTCTCTCACACACTTACCAAAAATATGAGGGTATGATGTCGTCCCATCATATTTGCTATATCCACAACCTCCTCCTTGTGTAACTGCTTTCCTGTAGTATGATTTTGTTTAGTCTCATTCTGTGTTTTGGTTCTTTGCTTTGGCCTGCAGTAAAAGTACCAGAGTTTTAACAGAGAGACCACATGACTTGGATCCAACTGACCTTGTTGAAAAAGGCCAGAACTGTCTAATAGTGAAGGCTTTGTTCAGTTGATGGTCAGTAGTTGGGACACTCAAGGCTTTTTGGTGGACCCAACCCATACTTCCATGATTACGCTACATTTAGAGCCAGAATTCAATGGCTGAGCTTGTTTTCCAAACATGGTACTCAGTGAAGGATAATAACCATTGGTAGAATAACCATTTGCATTCCCTCTGCCATTTCCCTAGTTAAAAGCTAACTAATATGTTTTCATTCCATCTTCAACTCAGCTTAAAGGGTTTTCTTCCTTTCCCTTTCAGTCTCTCTAATTCATCAGTTAAATATAGTTTGCAGTTTTCAGCTCTGTTAAAGTGACTGATTGGAACTGAAACTGAGGGGACCCTAATGCTGAGTTTGAATTTATTGTAATGTACACACATAGTGGCTTCTCTCTCTTAGATGGTAATGTACTGTCTCTCAGCAGGGCGAGCCTGGAGCACAAGGACCTCCAGGCCCTCCCGGCCCTCCAGGGCCCCCTGGCCTGACTGGTGCTAGTGGACCACCGGTAAGTCCAATTAAATTGTACTGGCTGTTTTTTTTCCCATTATAGGTGTAGTACTGTGCAAAAAAGAACTTTCATATATTTAATTTCCAGTCAAAACAGCCATTACAAGCCAAGTATAAGTTACCCATTTTATCAGGAGATATTTTTGAGTAGATTGGATATAAGATAATCCAATTGCATGAGGAAGGTGAAAGTCAAAGGAAAATAAGTGGAAAAACAGGAGTTTCCTGAACTGGAGTTCAAAAATGTATTAAAAAATATGGAGAATGGGACTCAACAACTGTTCAAGACCTGGTAGACCACCAAAACTGTCACCATCAGATAAACAGCACATAAAGCTTTCATCTTTGAAAGAGAGGAGAAAATCAAGCTCTACTCTTCAGATTTGTAAAATCCCCAGGTGTTTCTGTCCATCCTTCCACCGTGAGAAAACAGCTCAACAAAGGATGTGTAGCTGTCAAGAATCCAATAATGAGAAAAGAAAAATTTGCAAAGAAAAACAAATTAAAGAAGCTCAAAACAATAGACTGTCCAGACCTCAACATCATTTAATGTGTTTGGGATAGCTTGCATCATGAGAACCAGAAAATGCAACTGACTTCTAAGACTGAACTTGGGAGGTGTGGAAAAATATTTACTGCAAATTTCTTTAAAAAACTCAAAGCAAGTCTCCCAAAAAGAATGGAAGCTGTAATAAAGGCAGACATGTTATATTTAGTTGTTGAGGCTTTTGTGTAATTTTCTGTTCAATATATGTTTTCTGCTTTTTTGCTGATGCTGGAAAATGAATAACTTGTACTTATGGATGCAGTAACTATTTGTCTGTGATATAGGGAAAACCTGGAGAACCTGGGAAACCTGGAAAAGACCTGAGGGTAAGTGTGTACATGCATATCATTGTCATCCAGAAGCTTGAGTGAAAAGCACTCCCTGTTTCAGACATATCATTTCACAGCATGTATCCACATCATAGACTTTGCTATGATGCTGACAGAATTGTTGGCAATATTTGTTTATCCATACATCTGGTATTAATTTTTCATGTTTTAATGTGGTTTTACTTGTTTTTGCATTTGCAGATGCTGCCAGGAATGAAGGTAAGGTTGGGTGTGCCTTCAAGATATTTGAATAAAATATCAGAGCACATAATGTTAAATACTGAGGCTGTGATACAATATAACACGTTCGTGAACTCTTTATGTGATTAAAAATAGGACTAGATAATTCTGACAGAACTTTATATATTTGTTAAATAATAAGAAAAACGATAATGCCATGGTTTGTCAGAATGCTCTCACAGTACTCCACAGGAAGATGTTAGGCTGGTTGGAGGCCTCACAACTCGCACTAAACACTTCTCTGGTTTGCTTAATTGAAGATGCCTGTTGGAATATGACTACTGCAGAGTCCAAGCTTTAGCCCTTCTCAGATTTACTCCAGCTGTGTTAATAGCATTTTCCACAGACGGGTTGTAAACAGGCCTAAAGTGCAGGCGAGGTTCAGCAGTTTGCAGGGTGGGTCCCATCTCCCACTGCCAGCACAGAAGGGGTGGATACGCTGCATTACGCTCCTCCGTGTTACCATTGGATAACTCTACATTTCCCTTGATACATTAATTGCCATGGATTATTTAGGTTGGGGAATTTTAATTGTGGTGCATTGAGACATGCAGGACCCATAAAGCAGCACACTCTGGCTCTCTATAAAAGCAACACACCACTTCATATCTCAGCAGGAGCTGGAGGTCTGCTCACCATTTCTGAGCATTAAGTCCACTGTAAAGGAATACCTCAAAGAAAAGTGACCGCATCATGTTATGACTGTGTATATCATTTGGAAATTGCACCAAATGCTCCAAAAATAATAGTAAGAGGGGACAAAAGCACTTCTCAGCAAAAAAGCATGAATTATACGATCTCATATGGATTGGCTTGTTATATGTTATGTATACTATGACTTTATTGAATTTCTTTTTTTAATTATAGGGTGAACCAGGTGTACCAGGACAAAAGGTGGGTTTTTAAGTCAAAAATAATCATGAATTTGTTCCCTGAGTCCCTTTTTTATAGACTGGAATATGAGAAAGGAAACCATGAGGAGATATATTTAATCATGTTCAGAAGTTTGGGAGCTCCTGGACAAAAACAGTATGTTCTCTACAGAAAACACATCAGCACATTGAAACATAATTACTGTTTATTAACTAAATTTACCAAACTGCAGGCAAAAAAACAGACAAAAATTTGTTTACAGTTACAGCACATTTTATATTTTGTGTTTTATTTTTTCCAATATGTTGTACTCTGCAAAAACAAATATTGTGCTCTACAATTTACAGACTCCATATTTAAGTTTATTCCCTATAGAGGACATGTACTTATTGCCACTTAGAAAATCAATAGAACATGTAATCTGACCGGGAGCTTTTTACATACAACTATTGCATACGATTGTATCATTGAAACATGTCATCCAGAAGCTGGAGTGAAATATAGCGTGCAAAAGGACACAGTACTAATAATGAATATGTGAATTGTCAGTTGTCCATTTCAGCTGAAGAGTTACAGACTAGAGAAAGAGACTTGGCTCAGCACAGCGGTTAATATGTAGAGAAGAAATATTAGATGATTACAAAGTATTCAAATCATCTGTTACATGTTCAGCATCCTGCTCACTTTCTCCTCTTCCACTGCAGCTGACCTCCACCCACCCCCTTTCCTTGAATATGACCCTGTGTGTTCTCTCTTCTCTCAGGGTGATCAGGGTGAGACAGGCCTAATTGGACCTGAGGGCCCCAAGGTGAGAATCTGTGACCTTTGACCTTTCTGAGTTGAACAGCATACAGCTTGCCTTGTAGGACAGTTAATAGGTCATTTACACCCGTATATTAGTGTCACTTTTGTGGAGTGCTCCTGGCAGTGGATTCTTCTCTCTACACTGAAAAAGGTGATGCATTGAATATACTTTATTCAAATGTGTACATCATTTCCATATGAAGAAAATGTATTATATTAACACATTTATTTTTCTTTCAATTTACTAACTTGTCACTGTTGCAGTAAAGCTGTTATTTTCTCTGGAAATGACACATTTAAATAAAGTGTATTGAATGTGGAGCTCCAGAGAGCATAATAGGCCTCACTCTCTGAGTGAATAGCCCAAAGATATCACTCAGCGATGCTAGCTAATTCAGGCATCTGTTAGCTGATGTAACAGAAATGGCAGTTTGAGTTTTCCTCCAAGAGCTTTGATCTGTCCAGTGACAGCAGGTGATGGCCCATGTTTCAGAGGAAGCTAGCTCTCGTCGTCCCAGCTTGGTAGCATGAACTTAGGTCGTGGCTGGAATTGGTCCTGGCTAAATGAGGAAAAAATTGTGTAAAAAAACAAACAAACAAACAAAAAAGTATATTCAGTGCATCATGTTTTTTCACCGTAAGAAATATATCATTGCTGATAAATCATATATCTCCATTTTTTTTATTTTTGTTCTTCTACATCATCTAAACAAAGCAGCTGCCCTTTACAATATGTGAAAACCTTTAAAGTTACTATTATGGAGATGCTTTGTTTTTGTGCAGTGACAATATACAACAGTGTATTTCAATGTAAGTAACGTAACACGTAGACATTTGTACCACTTACAGATATTGAGGAAGAGACAGATATTCAGAGACAGGAATAAACAGTGCACACCCTCTCTCTTGAGATCTCATCATAATCATTTTACTCTCTCTATTCCCTAAGCTTAAATTATTCTCCTACATACATACTTTCTCTCTCTCTCTCTCCCTCTCAGCTAATGTTGCTCTGCCTGCATGATGATATGACTTTTCCACAACAAAACTCACATTTCTCTCATGCCTCGTATTCTTTTCCTTTATCGGTGTCATAATTTCTCTTTTACACAAACACTCATATGCGCCCATGGACTCACACACATCCAGCGTTAGTCTTTTCACCCCAAAAACACAACTTGCCAGAACAGCAGTGTGTGTGATTGACACTTTTGTGAGGACTACTTACTGTAGCTGAAGCTGCATATGTTTTTCTGTTTGAATCTCAATGAACTTCACCATGAGTTAGCGCACACGCTTTGTGCTATATGACCTTGATTCTGGATTAAGGCTTTACACATTTGAACTCTGGAACAACCTGCTGCTCTATTCCCTCACTATCTGGCCCTGTAAACTTTAGCTTTCCTCCGCAGACAGTGTGGATACTTTCCCATGCACACATCCAGATAACATCTCACGCCAGGTTATGAGTAACCACCTCATATGGGGCACAGCAGGAAAACGCCTTGTTATGCTTCTTAAAACGCTGAATACTGGATTAAGTATGTATTCAGATGTTTTTGTTTAAGAAATGTTTCTAGTCAATCCAAGTGGAATGTAATGTAAAGTCCGTTCTGTGCGCTTTCTGTGCTGAAGGTAGCAGATTATGCACATAAAACTGCGCCACCTGGTGGCTGCTCTACGACCTTGCCCTTAGCACACATTGGCTTCGGCTGGCATGAACCTCTGAAAGGGGAGATCAATCTTGATGAAAGCAGAATGAATGTGATATCCGTTCCTTAGAGAACTGAGATGGTCTCCTACCAGGCCCCAGATGCTTACTCAGACAAGATACATCTTAGTGAAAGAAGTCAAGGCAATAGCTTTACAATTCAATTATCAAAATTAGAGAAAACATATGTGATCCAGCACATTACCAACACTATTATTCATGAGGAGATCTTTCCTTCCTCTCTGGCACCTTTATATCCTATAGGATTGTACCTTGTGTCTGGATGTCTTTATGTCTAACAAATATTGCCAAGTCATGCTGCTATGTAAAGAAATAAATATGTTTCTACATGTAATCCTTCTATCACATAGGAAATGATAGAGGTTTTTTGGATGGGCAAAATTATAGACATGGAGTCTGCATTGCTCTGTTCATTTCCATTTCGTCTAGACATTATTATTGATGTAAACCAGTTGTAGATTGGAAAGCTATTTTGGCATCAGAGGCTTATCATGCTGGCTCTTTGGCTCTTTAATGGCATTTTTGAAAAGCAATGTATGTCATGATGACTGATTTCTGCTTTTCCTTTGCTCTGTTTCCTTAGGGATCCAAGGGGGATCAAGGGCTGAAGGTAAGGCCAGGAATGTTTCTGGATTTGGTAGCTGTACGCATGGCAGTTTTCCAAGTACTGAAGATTATCAACATGGTCGTACTACATTGAATGTAGATTCATGCTCTCACTTGCAAGCAGCACAGGGGCATTTAAGTGGGACCATCCATATCATCCTAGGTAGTCCATTCAGATTTACGGATGTGCTAACCTACCTACTTCAATATGAGTACAGTAGGTAGACTAGTGCATCTGCAGGAGTGATTACGCAACGTCATTTGGCTGTTCCTCAGTGGGAATATTTTCCTTCTGTAAACATGTGTGGGTGACACATTAAGTTTACACCTGCTGATGCACAAAATAGCCCTCAGAGGCCAGAAATTATTCTGCCGGTCTATCTCGTGAATGCTGAGTATTGTCTTCCGTCGCCAGCAGTGCAAGAGACGCTCCACCAGAATGTGTGCATGTGGGCTGCCAAGCAGCACAGACAGAGGCAGGGTGTGATATCTTAAATAAACCCTGGGCTCTTATCAGTGTGTGTGTGTGGGGGGTGTGCAGGGGCTTGGTCTGTTGGTCTGAGACCAAACGGCAGATATCAGTACAGAAGATAGCGCTGTGATACGGAGTCTGAGGCCTCCTTTGGCAATCCATGCTTTGGAGGTCCATTTTGAGTCAAATTGGGAAGGTCATTTCCACTTGAATAACATGTATTATGTCCACACAGTTTTTTCTAAAAGTAAGCAAACAAAAAAAAACAGTATTGATGTCCCATAGGAAAGAAAAACCTAAGAGGAGGAAACCTTAAAATCTCTGTGGTTTCTCCTAGACAGCAATAAGATCAGATGCAAACACAAAAGAGGCTTGTTTAAAATTCCCTTTATCATGAAAATCAAATTGGCTCTTTGTTATTTTGAAATAAAACACATTACTGTAGTTTGTAAACATTATCACAGTTATTATTAACATTTCAAAAACACATAGTCTTCAGCCCGCAGTCCATACAATCCATATTTGGAAACTAAGTGTCAAAAAACACCCGTTCTGAATTCATTGCTTCTGTGATGTCATGAAAAACCAAAACATTTGCATATATCTCCCTTTTCATCCTACAGCTGTTTAGCCCCACCAATCCACACTGGACATCCTTTTGAATAAGGCAGAATAAATACATACAGAGGAGAGCTTATTTACATATATTAGCTTTAAAGGCACAGTAACAAAAGCTGTCTGTTTAATTCTAAGGAGTAGGAAATTCTAAGGATGAAGTATTAAAGACATGTTTTGGGTCCGGAGTTTGCTTCTTTAGAGAGTTTGGAAAGTGGTTATAAAAATAAATGACCAAGTTTTTGGTACATAAACGCACACAAATGTTATAAGTGGACTTAAGGGACAAAAATACAATTTAAGAAAAATGTAGAATATTAGCTCTTTTAGTCTCCTGCTGCTCAGATAGTTCTTCTGAGGATAAGAGCTCTGTGATATCACATGTGTCTCATCTTGAGCTAAAGTAGAGTGATATATTTCATTTGTGTGGAAATGGTGCACACTTTTTTCAGTGCAGTTCACAAGGTTTGATGGAATTTTTTATTTACCTTTAGCTGCCCTTCACACCACTCCTCCTACACATGCCCCTTCCTGCTCTTTGTCAGGCTTTCAGGACCACCCTGCAAGGACCTGTTGCTTAGATTAAGAAGTAGTCTCTCTTAGATATATTTCCTCTCTGATTTACAGCACATGGCTTTTGAACGTGGCATGAGACGATGCCTCCATAAGATCATGTACCTCTCGTGGTCCTGCACTCCTTTTGCTGTTGCCACTGCTGTGTGTGTGTGTGTGTGTGTGTGTGTGTGTGTATGTCTGCTGCTGTGCTGAAGATGTCTCCATCTGCGTGTTGTATAGGGAGAGGAGGGGAAGATGGGGCTTCTGGGAGAGAAGGTATCCTGCCTGAGAAGCTTGTGTGCTCAGCGTAGCATGGTGTGAGCATGAGCTGTTCTGTTGAAGCAGATGCTAAAAGCATGAATGACGTCAAATGACGATAATTACAATTATAGTCATTAATTTATCATTATTATTATTATTATTGTTGCATATTTCAATAAAGCATCAAAGACATGTTTGGTGTCCAGAGCTTGCTTCTTTAGTTTTGCAGTAGAGCACCAAGGCTAATGTAGCTAGCAAATAATAAAACTTTTTAAAGTACCAGTATGTCATACCGTGTTTGAAAGCATAAAATTACGTCTTTTTGAGTTTATTTAACCACTCAGTGTGATTTAGACAGTTGTTTGATGAATTGCGAATGCAGATTGTGCAGAGTTACAGTGGCAGCTGTAAACTTACATTCTTATATATATATATATAAGCTTACATGTAAAGTATTTCACAGCCCATCTTGTTTGCCATAATTACATTCTGTTAGTTTCTGGCTAATTCCAGTGTGTTTAGTGTTTTCACCATCACAGCTGCCAACCAAAAAGCTTGCTCTGGGGCAATGACAGGTTCAGAATTTGGTGTAGGCCTGCTGTCACACCCTTCTTCAGAGTATGACTAAAGGGGCTGCAGGTCAGATATTGTCTTATAGAAGTTACCTAATGTTCACATTTTCTGTTTTAATCAATACTAAACTGGGAATAATTAGCTGCTGCATAAAGTGAGTCATTACTTAGTAGCAAGTGGAATTGTGTTCAGCAGAAACAGTTATGTGAAAAAAAACATGTTGTTATTAAAAATAACAGATAAAGATGGATGAAACGCTTCTCAACCAATCAGATTTTACTGTTGGAACTAACTGTGGTAAAATGTTAGCTACATGAGTTAAATTCATTTGGCAAACCTTGGACACCAAACATGTTTTGCCTGATCAGCTACATTGATGGTAGTGAGAAACCTCTGTAAATTTCATTTGTTCTCCCAAGCTTTAAGCTCTGGTTTTGAATAGGTTTTAGACAAACATTGTGCAAATCTAGGATTTTCTCAAGTGCTTCTAAACACTGCACATATGAGAATGCAACTGTAGCCACAATATGTGACCCGACAAAGGCACCTGCATGCAAACAGTCACAAAGAAGCTTTGCCAGGGGCAATTTTATGGAAGAGGAAACTGCTATGTTCATTGCTGACAGCAGAGACTGGGAGTGACTGCTTCTCCTGATCTCTTCAGTCTCTTCATGCTGTTCCTCTGGAGCCTCCTGTTTTTTTGCACCTTGATGACCCATACCCACTTATTTTCCCACCTGCTGTCCCCTCTGCCAAGTATGCCGGCTTGCTGTAGCTTGCTAGGCCTGTTGCCATGACGATGACTCGTGCAGGTTGCTCAGCACGTGGCAGTAGCGTGTGTTTGTGTGTCTGTTTTCACCATTAAATCCAGCAGGCCGTCTGTCGAGAAGGAAAAGAGCTCCGACTGAAGCCGCAAAATATAGACACGCTGTCAGCACTGCGATCATTAGACTGGCGAGACTCACAGGAAGTTCAGAAGATAGAGAGGAGATGACTGCAATCTCAGCGGCTAACAGCAGCTCAAACTGAGTCTTACTCACCCCCAAATCTCCATTTAATGAGGCTGTTAGTGAGTGTCTATTTCCCCCGAGGGAGAGACAGCATACTCACACAAGATCACTCTATTTCATGCAATCATATACACATACATTAAAGCTGTTTAATGTCTACCAGAGCGGACCTCCTGAGTCAGGAGAGGCTGAGACTTGAGACATTCTTGAAAATAAAGACATTGAAAACGGTTCATTGGGGCGAAGCTATAGAAGAGCCACCTTTTGGTGGATGACTCTTTAAAAACTGTTGTAAATGAGATGGTTGAGTGTGAAGAATCTCAGCATAATACAACGGTTCTTTACCAATTCATTTCCTAGAACCATGGGTCCAAGCCAAGAACCATAAGAGTGGACGAATGTGAAGCATGCAAAGAAAACTATTTGTCCTTGCGTTTCTCCAAGTAAATATGGATTGAAGAAGATACTGATTTTCCCCGTATTCATAATGCTCTGCTGACATCCTTGTCCGAAATTGCACATTTTTCAACTTGTTCCTCGTAATGTGTCCCTTGACAGATGGGGATCGTGTTTAGTATGTAGTCTGCATGCCAAAAGCACACTGAATAAAGTAATGCAATAAATTTGAGTTGATTCAAATGCGTGCACAATTTCCACATAAATAAAATCTATTACATCAACGCTGTTATTGCCAGAGGTAAATAAACTGAAGAATGACGTTGTGTTGATGTGATGTATTTTATTCATGTGGAAATGATGTACATATTTGAATCAAGTAGACTCAGCGCATCACTTTTTTAGGTTCCAAGAACAGAACTGATCTTCTCTGAAAAGTAGTTCCTCTGCAGTTCCTCACCCGTATCATCTTAGTCCAGACACTGACAGTCCAATAAATTATCTACAGCCTGTGTCAATCCACACGCAGCAAGCTCAGCGAGTCCTCCACAGTGTGTCAGGTGATCCTGCGCTAAAATAGGAGCACACAGAGGATGAAGAGATGATGACGATGAATAGAGAAGATGACAGGAATAGTGTGACTGGACTGGAAAAGGAGAGGATCAAAGAGGCCGCCGCTTCCTGCTGAATGCTCTGGGGATGCAGAGTCTTTCTCTTTCTCCTTCTCCCTCTCTCTATCTCTCTTTCTTTCTCGGTCTCACCGGAGCGATTAGATGCCTCAGCCGTCACCGTATCCCTCTATTTCCCCACCAACACGCAGCCTTGCTCTTTCATCTTCCAGGAAGCGTGGATGCCCCCTCCCCAAGTCTGACCCAGCCTGGCAAAGCCTCTCCCTTTCTCATCTGCTCCACTCACTCTAACCACACCCAGAATTACCAACCTTAGATTTGGTTTTACTGATAATACTGTGTGATTTGGACTAGATTTTAGTGGCATCTCTTAGTTTTTAGTTTAAAAATGTTAAAAATAGAAAAAAAAGTTTAGTTTAAAATGCTAGCATGTCTCTGTGCATCTCTCATACCACCACAAGCATTGGAAAGTGATTTTTTGCACCATATGCAATAAGCATTTTTATGGCCATCTTTGTCTATACGTATCCATATCCATATTATCTGGGCCCTTCCTCTACACATATTCATATCCGTAAAGGCAGAATGAAATGAGCACAATTGAACTCTTTTTGGAGGATATTCACTTACTGTGTCACCATATTTCAAAACGACTATCAATTTTGCATGTACAACTGTACATAAGGGTGAAGAGATTTCAGAGAAGATCAGTTCTGTTCTCAGAACCTAAAAAAGTAATGCGTTGAGGTCACTTTGTTCAAATATATCCACGATTGTGATGTAAATTTGTTAAAATAAAACAGATGAGTAATTCATCGTGGTTCTCACTGTAAATCTGCAGCTTAAAACTGCCATATGCAAGATTTTGTTTGTTAACGTTGAAAAAAAGTAGCATTACTGCGTAACAAAAAAAAAATGATGTCCATGCGCTGCTACGACTCACCTTGTAAGCCTAAATTAATCATTTAAAAACTGGTGTAGCATAGGTGTTACTTATTTCTTAGATGTGAGGTGATGTCTTTTGATTGTCAGGCACATTGCACTTACCTACCCATGCTCTTCAGAAGTTTCTAGATGTTCATAAATAGGAGGAAAGTTGATGATGGCAGTCAGAATTTGAGAGGCTAGTAGGTTAGAAATGTGACATTTATTTTACAGGTTTACAAACCTTACAGATTTTTACAGTGGCACCCCTGCCCCCACTGCCCATGACAGGTTGGTGGTCATGGTGTCAGCTGAGCATGCTGCAGCCACATCTCCAGTGCAGAGCCCCTCTGAAGTGCGTGGGATCATTAGCGCACACTCATGCCATGCACGTAAACTCCCTCTCCATATCGCTCGCCAATACGTGACTCTTCCAAGGATTCAGACCACAGCACCTGTTAGAGTCTCACATAATCAGCTGGTGCGCAGAAAGAGAACAGCGCGTGTGGTCAGAGAGGAGGGGAGTGTGCCAAAGCCAGGCTCTGCCACCTGCCTCTCGCTCAGACCCGCTGGAGTCTTCATGCCATCTCTGTCCTCTTAAACTCCACACAGGGGCCTGCTGTCTGCCTGTGCCTGACTGGCACTTCTGCTTTCTTTGGAGGCTTTTAGAATTCCTAGGACGCTTGGTAGATTGCTAGTTTTGTGGCAGAGCGTGACTCAGTAACAGAGCTGAACTGGTATTTTGGCTTGCCTTTAGCATGTGCGTTTAGCATGACTAGATCTAGAGGTTTTCAAGTTGTATTTTGGATGAGCTGTTGACTTTGATTCATACTCTGTGTCAAGCATTGAAAAGATGCAAAATTGCTACTGGTTTTCCAGGGTGAGCGAGGGATGCCTGGAATGCCTGGGAAACAAGGACCGAAGGTAGTTTGCCTGGAATTTGCTTTAACCATCCGCTATGTTAACCACAAGCCCACCGATTAATCTATTTTGTGTCTAATCCTAGTGACCATTTGCCACAAATTATCAAACATTCTCCACCTTCCAGCAGGCCATGCTCAGGTGGCTTACACTCAAAAAAACACATGAACTTAACTTCATACAGTGTTTCCATTCAGTCAAATATAATAGAATCAACATATAGACTTTTTATTCCCTCAACATAAAAAGCAGCTGGAGTGTTGATCTATTTAGTGCTAGTGTTGACATATTTTCAGTTTCTAACCCCTTTGGGTTTTTTGAGTGGCCAGTACTCATCCCACATGCTTTCTGAGGAAGCATACCATAGAAGAAATGGTCAGTAGGATATGAGTGTCCCCACAGTTAGCTACAGTAATTATATAGTAATAACTGTGCATGACAGAATTACTTTTACATTGGAGACTCATAAAAGCATAGTATATGTGTTTCTCTCTCCATCTGTATTTATTAGCTTGGTAGTCTTAAGGAGTGAAAGGGCATGTCTAAGACTCTGGGTGCATGTAACACAACCCCAGCTGTGTCTGTAGATCACTAGCATGGTGTTTGCTCATTAGTCAAAGCCAACCCAGACACGAAATAAATAACCATCATGTGTTCTTTACTATGAATAACATGGCAATAGTGGGCAGCTCATTGTGGTGGTTCCAGTGATCAGCTATTTGCGTGCTTGGAACATGCAAAGCCTGACAAGCTGATCTAAATATTGACATCAAAGCATGTTGCCTAATTACTGCGATAGAAATAATGGCGTCTGATAGTCGCAGAGGGTTTACAGTTAATGTCAACGTTGTTTGTTTCAGTCCATGCGATTTGTGTTGACACTGCATGTATGAAAAAGTGACCATGATTACAAAAAATGATCCACAGATCTGTTGATGAAATGAGGCAAAGCCTGGAGTGTGGGAAAACCATGTTGTGTTTGTCGAGTTTCCGAGTTCAGGAATAAGTCGTGTCTGCTTACGTTTTTTGCTTCTCTTTTCTCTGTACAACATCCTTCATGTTTTCTGTCTTTCTCCTTGCTGGTCACTCTCTTCAGGGAGAGGCTGGTTTTCCAGGGGCTTCTGGGCGAAAGGTAATGCCAAAATTTAGGTAGACACAATAAAACAATAAGAAAGTGTCCACACTGAACTGAACTAAGACAAATAATGACATTTTCTGTCATCATAAAGGGTCAGGCAGGTCTTCCCGGTATTCCTGGGAAGCGAGGATATAAGGTAGGCCTGGAATAGGCATGAAATTAGTATGAGGTTCACTAAAGATCATGCTCATGCTGTGTGCAACTCTGTGTTACTGTGAGTTTGTGCTTGACTGTTTGACCATCAGATGAATGTGAATTCCCTTTGGTGTTACTGAGAGAACATATTCCATATGTTGCTCATTAGTTTCATGAACTTGTGTCTTTGCCACATGCATGACAGAGCACTGTGTGTGAAACAGTGGCCTGATTTTGCTCAGTGGAAATGCCTTAATTACTGTCCTCTGTAATCTTTGAATGTTGTAAAAAAAAAAATATTTCTTGGTTTTAAGGCCTTTTGAGCTTGATGTGTTTTGTGTGCTTGGGCCTTGTGTTTTACTGCTGATTAGAGACATTGGACTGATGTTGTTTTCGTTACTGTGTAATAAAAGGTCCTAATACAATATACTATGCTTCTACTGTTGACAACTACAGCATGATAGAAGTAATCTTTTTGAAACCAAACTGGATATCTATTTGTCTCTCACCTCTCTGCAGGGTGAAAAGGGCGAGCCTAGCCCTTCAGGAATTGCTGTGAAAGGAGAACCAGGAGCACCAGGATTACCTGGACCCAAGGTAAGCTACCAAGATGGGTGAAAGCATCTTATGAGCTTGTATCTTTATCAGCTTCATAAGTGATCATGTTTTTTTTTTTTTTACAGGGTGAAAAAGGTGATCATGGCAGTAAGGTTAGCATTTCTTATTGCTAGCCCTTTGGTGGTGAATATGATACACTGATTTCATGTTCTGTTGTTCTGATTGCTAAGTCAGTATGATTGACCATGTTCTCCCCTGTCTGCCCACAGGGTGAAGCAGGACCTGAAGGCCCACCTGGACCAAGAGTGAGTTACAACACAAACCCTTTAAAAAGGCAGGTCATTTGAGTGCAGTGTGTGCTCTATTAAGCTGTATATGTATATTTTCTCTTTTTTGCTTAATAGGGTCCCCCAGGCCCAACGGGAGAACCAGGAAAAACATTAATTAACAACAATGAGAACGTATGTTATCCTTCTTATCTGTGCCTGTAAATATTTATTTGTTTTTTTAGGTGCTCTGATATATGTAGAGGAACCTTATTATGTTCTTTAATGTTTTTTTTTCAGGACATTCGCAATGTGCATTTAATGGTAAGCGTTCATGTCACTAAAAAGGCAGGGTACATACATATTAATGATGGTAAAAAACAAATTCAGTTAAAATGTATTTGAATAACTATTTTTTGTGTGACTATAGGGCCCACCTGGTCTACCTGGTCCTCCAGGGCCTCCTGGGTTACCTGGCACCAAGGTAGAGGACTTTTTAGGTTCTCACTGTTGTCTATTGATTTCCCAGTTCATTTTCTTAAGATTTCATTTACATTTTTTTTACTTTATCTTCAGGGTGAAGTCGGACTTCCTGGTCCTCCTGGTCTTGATGGAGAAAAGGTACAGAACAAGTTCAGGTGTTTTCATTACATTAAAAATAATCATTCTTGGTTTCTTGGTCTGTTGGTGATGGTGGTTAATCAAAGCAGTTGACTGATTTTGGTGAATGTCTCAGGGTCCTCGGGGGAAACCAGGAGAGACAGGACCCATTGGCCCGCCAGGGCCTGAGGGGCCACGAGGAGAGGGCGGAGTCATGGGCTTCCCTGGGCCTAAAGGAGATAAAGGAGACATGGGTCCCTCTGGATCACCTGTAAGTGCTGAAAAAACCTATGACATTTCCTACTTTCCTACTTACCCAAATAATACCCAAGTGCTGTCAGAGAAAATATATTTTATATCAGATCTCTGAAGGCTTTTTGCATGATCAGAGCTTTATAAAGCCTGCATTGCTCTTACAGCCACTAAAGTGTGCAAAATTTGGTTGATTGGAAGCAAACACAGTGATTTAAGCTGAAGTGTGTGGCACTTAAGATTGCACTTTATTTAAGGTGCCATAATCTCAGTATTTTATTTTTGAACTTACTCATTGACCAATGTCATTCGAATCCCTCAAAATTGCCCATCCTGGCAGCACTTAACCTCTATCTCATCATTCCTTCCCCATTCTGTAGGGTTTAGATGGCCCTACTGGCGAAAAAGGGGTTGCAGGGCCTCCTGGCCCCTTTGGATTACCAGGCTCAATGGTACGCAGTGGTGCCCATCAAGAAGAAGAATGTTGTTGTGGCATCAGATGACACCAGTGTGCAAATGTGTTGTGATGTTATTCCATTAAGTCATGATGAATGTTAGTGAAATGGTTGAACAAGCATTTTTGTTACCTGCTTCTTCAGGGTCAGAAAGGTGAACCTGGAGAGAAGGGAGAAAAAGCAGACTTGGTAAATATTCCCTTCTATTTTTAAGAGTTACGTAATGCAACTGTACATTCTGTTTTCCAAACGAGCGATTGGTAACAGGTGGGCCAGTATTTGGTTTGGCAAAGGTTATATCTGAACCCAAGCTAAAATGTAGCACTGTGTTTACCTTGTTGCACTGTTTTGAGAGTTCTGAATTGGGGCATCACTGTTTAATAATGCTACTTTGCGTTCTCGATTTTTCTTAGGTCTATGGGCCTCCAGGACCTCCAGGGCCTGCAGGGCCAGTTGGGCCAATGGTGAGGACAGTGTACACTTTTTGGGATAACATCATACCTGGTCAAATTATATCTATATGAATGTTATGCATATTCTACTCAGTAGTAAGTAGAGTTTTGTAGGCTAGGTACAAACACTATGGTTTTTACATCAATAATTACACTGATTGCTACCAATATTGTAACAAACATCGAAAAATACATCAGCAATATACCAATGTTCCCAAGCCCAAGCCAGAGAAAATTAACTACGTACATGGAAAAATCTTTAAAAACTTTTGAGTTATTTGATTGTTTTGGCCTGCCTCCTTCCTGGAACCTAAAAAGCAGTTGTAATTTGGAGTGTCGTTAAGACAGATAGACTATCAGAGAGATTTATTCATGTCCCAGAGTAAGTACCTCTACAGTGCAGCTATAGAGGAGATTTACAGCATCCCCTAGGATTAATGTTTGCATTTACCTTTTGGTCATTTACAATGATGTCCTGCACATGCTTCAGTCATAATTAAAGACATGATTCAAATACCCATGTTCATATACCTTTTAGGGACCTCCAGGATTGCCCGGGCCAAAGGTGAGAATGTCTCTTTATTGCAGTATTGATTACACAGTCATTTAAGGACTTCATGTAGATAATAAACCTCACAGGCCAAAGTAATCATCTGCTTGTCTTCACCAGGGGGAGGCAGGAGTGGGTCTGAGAGGAGAGAAGGGAGCTTTTGGACAGAAAGGAGAAAAAGGAGACAGGGGCCACCTTGGACTCCCTGTAAGTACAATCCTGTAACATAGTACATATACAGTAAGTATAGTATATAATAACATGGTAATGTACTTATAATAATAATAATAATAATAATAATAATGATAACATAGAACAGTATAATGGAAAGGGACCAAGTCAAATTAGTTTTATTTAAATAGTCCATTGTTTAATGAGCTCCACTCCATTTTTAATTCAGTATAACATCAGTTCAACTTCTTATCTCATCTAAAGAGAAAATCCTTTGTGTTAAAATTGATGTGACTAATGTCACCTTGATATGACTAATGTGCTGGTGCTTTCTGTGGCGTTGACACTGGGCTTCATTTGCTAATGGCTTATTGGTTGCAGTGGTGTCAGGTTGCATGGATCAGTGAGTGTCCTTGTGTTTACTGAGCAGTCATGGCCAGATGTACTTTGAGTCATTTTATAGCTTGCAGCCATTCATGCTGTGAAGTAACTATCCAATGACAACATTATTTTGGTGATTCCTGCAGGCCAGGTATAAAATTACACATAGTGACTTTGATTTGACCACCCAGATTTGTTTTGGGCATATCTCTACTGCTCTTACTAGCAAATTAGCAGGTTTAGGCTGTGTGTTCAGGTGACATAAATGAAATACAGTTATTGACTTCTTTTTTTAACACACATTTGTTGAAAAGAATGGATAATGTATTGTTAGTGAGTCACTGAAGCAAATTTCTTCTTCAAATGGTTAACACCTGGGACCAGCTAAAGCCTTTTGTGGTATTTGATTTGACCACTCCAAAATTAAAGCTAAAATTCCTGAAAACGTGGAAAGAACTAAGTACAATAAGTTTTAAGTAAAATTACTAAGTACCTAACAAACTAAGTGCAGTAAGTTTTAGCAAAGTGTTAAACTAGCAATTTTTTAATGAAACTGAATTAAATTACAGCTTCATCTACATATAAAACCAGTTTTCCACCAAGCAGAGAGTGGTCATTCGTGGTCAGAGATGGAAGGCTGATTGCTTATCCGTAAATAAAATACATACAGATTACATAAATCTTTATGGAATTACATACATTTGTATTTATTCTAATGGTATTTGTTATCAGGGAAGTTGGCAGCTGAGTGGACCTGAACTTGCATACATCTGCACTCTCTTACTACATGCACTTGTGAATTGTAAAATATTTGAGAGTTTGATGTGTGAGAGCCATTTTTCCGCCACCACTTTCGCAACAGTGACTCACTACTATATATTGTCCTTTGTATTAGTATGTCATAATTTTACTATTATGAAATGGCATGCAGTAGATTACATTCAAAGTCAGTCTTAGGGGTCCTTTTCCTAACTTTTGGTGAATTCTTTTGGTGTTAAAGTCATTGATAAACTTGTTCTAGTCACACCATCAATGGCACAGTAACTCCTTTTGCACTTAAACAGACTTTCATGCCACAAATTAAACATTTAGTTCAGAAAGATACACTGATAAATAATAATGATCCTCTGCTGACATCATAATGTTTAATTGTAATGTCATAATGCATTGCAATATTTTTAGAGATGCATACTGTGTAAATTCCTGGAACTTTGCTGTTTCTTTAGTATCACCAGCCACTGTGCTGAATGACAGATGAAATAATATGTTATACTTTATTATAACCAGTTAAGTAGTTTTACCAACAGAAAATGTTGAATCGTATATCGCTAGAAACAAAGAACAGATCCAATTTAATAAATAAATATTTAATATAAATATTTAATAAATTTAGCCATATGGAACAAAAGAACAAAAAGTAACTAGTTAAGTGTTATACTACAATTACAGTTACTCTAAAGTAATTTGCCCTCTAAAATACTATTCAGATGAGATTAGTTTTCCATGGGCAGGTGGGGTAATGCAGTTCTACCACTGGATGTACTGCATAAAATCAACATCAACATTACTGCATAACATCAGCAATTTTTAAATCATTTTACATGTTTTAATGTTCAAAGTAATACACTTGAGCTAGTACAATACATATGAGCTTGGTTTGGGCCACAGAGAATACAAGTAAATGCTTCTTTAAGTACTTCCACACTTAGGAAAAACTTCTTTTCTACATGATATGATGCAAAATTAACAACATGGCAATTTGCACAGCGTTGATTTCTTAGTAGATTAAAGCCACTGGAATCTACTTCAGGAGCATGCAGTTCATTACAATGACAGACGTGGCAGAAATTTAAAAAAAAAATTACACTATCCCCATATACACTATATGTTCAAAAGTATCCAGACCCCCCTTCTAATTAGTGCATTCACTTCCTTTAAGATGCACTCATTGCTTACATAGGCTTTCAATAATCTCCATAGAAAAGCATTGCTAGTAGAATTGGAGGCTTTGGAGCAGTTGGCCATGAGCCTATTGTCTTCTCTAGAGTGATGGAGCTCCATCCAAAACCTTTGGGATGAGTTGGAGTGGAGTTGGTCATCCATAACTAATCTTCCAACATCAGTTCCTGACCTCACTAAGGCTCTTATCTCTCTGATTGCAGTCAACTCCTCACAGCAGTTATCCAACATGTAGTGTAAGGCCTTCTCAGAATAGTAGAGGCTGTTACTGAAGCAATGGAGGACAAACTCCCTGTTAATACTCTTGATTTCAGAAGAAATGTTGAATAAGCAAGTGTCTACAGTCTTTTGGACATATGGTGTAAGTCCCCAGATAAATCTAATCTCATCTGGATTCAATTCATGTTGAAATAAATTATTCTGAAGCTTACTTTTTAACAAAAAAATAATAAAAAATTAATAATTAATAATACCTTGATACTTAGTATCAGTATTGGTATTTACACTGGAAAAATAAAGGTGGCATTGTGCTATCTGTAGTTAAAAGGAGTTACTGTCTGTTTCTCACATCATCATCCACACTATCACTCCTCCATCAAACCTAGTTTTGTTTTTTTATGTCACACGAGTCACTGCTTCACTCACCCCCTCGTCTCCTCCCCACACTCCTCCCCCACTCCCCCCACCATCTCCATCTCTCCTCTCTGCTCTCTAACTGTTTACACACTGTCCAGGGGGCTCATGGTTTAGACGGCAAGCCTGGTCCAGTGGTGAGTGGCGCAAGACCCGTTCCCCTCACCCCGCTCTCATCTCTCTCTCCTCTCCCCATTTTCTCCTTCTGCCTCCACAGCCTGCCTGCTGCTGCCTGTCTCTCTGCATTCGTATCCGTCTGTCTGCTTGCCTGTCCTTCTCTCTGCCTGTCTGTGTCTTTCTCGTTGTCTGCTGGTCAAGGCCTTTGTTTTTAGACTCTTCATGAGGGCTGTACTGGCATGAGGATGACTTTGAAATGACGTCGTCTCTAAGCCTGTTTTGCTGTGACCTCTTGCTGTGTCCAGAGCAGGCCACTCAGTTTGTTTTTCAAGCTGTCAGTACTCGGCCAAATGATTGGGAACATGGGTAAAGGCTGATAAACAAAACACATGGACAGTTCCAATGCAAAGATGAATAGGCCTCGCGCTGAACTTCCATGTCCTTCCAGCCCACCATATTTGGTCTTTAAACAGGCCTGACCTCTGATAACCACATGCCACAAGAGCTGTATTCTTTTAAACAGAAAAGCTTTGACCTTGTGATGTCATACCAGGAGAGCATGCTGGGATGCGGCTGCATGTAGTATTGTTACAGAATGGCATATCCTGGATGAGAAGACTGCAAGAAAAGCAAAAAAAAAGTCAAGAAACCACAGCTGAAGATGGATTCATCATTATCTTTTGCGTGTCTGTTTATTACCCAGTAGATCAATAATCTTTACAATCTTGGTAGAGCCTTTAAAGGGGAATTCACAATTTCAGCAGGTCAAGATTTACACAAAGTCATTCAGAGTGATTTGTTATGTAGTTTATTGCAGAGAAATGTAATGACTCAGATTACTGTACAGTGGTGATGATAGGAACCATGGGTTGAGATGTCTACAACACAAATATAGCCATTTTATTTACTATTCAAAATGACCAGTGAACCTACACCTTTCTTCTGAGTTTTTATATGTAATGTCCATAATATTATTAGTAGTAAATCAGAAATTATGAAGATGGAAATTATGGACGATTTTGCTTATGATGCCCTGCATGTATCTCTCTGCCATTAACCCCTTTACAATCCAGGCTTATTATTCAGTAACTACAGGGACTTAAATGCAAACTAGTTGAGCTTTTCTTAGGTTACAAAGTGTGTAATAAAACTTTGGGCCTGGTGGTGGGCCCATGGCTTGGTAAGGGGTTTTAATTTATTTAAAAAAAAAAAACACTTTTTACCTCAAAATGTTATCTCAAACCTATCATAAAACCATGTCTCTGTCATCAGCCAGCGTATTCTTAACTGTTTTGTGTAATAGTTTTCTCTGAGGTAATCTTTAGAGGCATTAAGCACTTTAGATGTCTGGTGCCTGCCTACATCACTGTGAACAGATCTGACTCTGTACCACTCTGAATGACTGTACCACTCTGAATGACTTTCACATTACACCACTCTGAATGACTTTGTTCACATTTTGTGCATTTAGTTATCCTTTGAAAAATCAGTGGAATTTCACTTAACATTTAGATTACAAAATTAATCTTATTCCAGAATTAATAAACCTTGTTTCCTTACTACCTAAAAATGGTCCTCACCAAAAAGATGATTGATTTTCTCATTACTGAGAAGAACATTATCTGTCAACTCTGAAAAGCTTGTTGATCTACTAGGCCTTAACACTTTCTCTCCCTTAATGACCTTGACACCAGTCCTGTCTTCTGTTTAAAGCTGATTGATTTAACTGTTTGTCTTTACTTTCAAAGGGTCTAATAGGACCGGCTGGTATGCCCGGACCAGCAGGACCAAAAGGAGAAAGGGTGAGAATAGTTTCTGCATTTTGATGCATTTTATAATATTAATACTTAATAAATACCAATAATACTTAATATATTTAAAGTAAAAAAAAGTCATAGTATCTCTTACCATCAAATGTCAAAGTACTGCTTATGTGTATTTTGCCACTTAAACCTTAGTTGTTTATTTTGTTTTATACTTGTAGGGGGAGAAAGGAGATATGGGAGTAGCAGGACCAATAGGGCCTCAAGGCATCCCTGTAAGTACACATGTATTTGTATGAGACTGTTAAGTCACTGCTGTTGTTAAAGAATAGCAGAATTCAGCAAATAAAGCTACGGGTCAAATGGATGTATAAATTTGTGCAAGTTGCCTTTCATTCATTAATGTCTTCTCCCTCACTTTATTAGGGTTTAGTAGGACCACCAGGACCGACAGGAATTCGGGTAAGATTTGATGGAGTTTGGATGCTGTCTGAAGTAGAATGTTAATGCCTTCATAAGAAGACAGTAACACAATGTTCTTCTAAGAGGGAGGTTTGGGTGAAACTCAAACCCAGCATGGTCCTGCTCCCATAAAATTCCTCAAATTTGGTGTAGAATGTACTGGATTTTTTGGAGATAGTTGGATGCATTTTATTCAATTCATGTTTTCCTAGTAATAGTGTCTGGTAAACTGAACAGGAACATGCTAGGTTCAGTGACACTGTGCTTGCAATAGTAATTATCATAAATTCTACTGTATATTTGATAGAGAGCCTGTTAAAAGGACATGTATGAATGTTGGGTTATTAAGAAATGTTTAATCATTATTTTGGTAGAGTTCGTCTTTATGCAGATTCATTTTATCTATACATAAGTATGTGTAGTATGTGTTTTGTGTATATATTTGAAATAATTCAGTCTTAATATAGTCACTTAACCATGCTATGATAGCATACATTTTAAAAGATCCTGCAATTTTTGTGTAATTAAAAGAGTATATGTGTATGTTTTTCTGTTTATCTCTTACATCCCTCCATCCTCCCAGAATAGTCGTGTGTTTCCTTCCTATTAACACTAATTTCCTGAGTTATTGCTTGAATAACTTCCACCTTGAAAGTCTGGACATGTCAGTGTTCCTCTCAGCACCCTCTACTGGCCATAAGAGAAAATACTACTGAGAGATCTTGCAAAAGAGTAGAGTAGGGGAGTTTAAACTGGCCAAATTGTAAATCACCAGCATTAGATTTGACTGGTGCTAAAAGCTCAGATGTTACTACACAGTTCTGTCTGTGTATTGATGGTCAGTTCAGCTGAAGGTGCTGAGGAGGGCCTTGAGGACACGCTGCTGTTTTTACTGTTTTCCTCCTCTTGTCTTCCTCTCTTTTTTCTACAGGTCTTCCTCTCCCCTTTTCCTCCCCTGCACCTTGGCCTGTGACCCCTGGCTCTTTTTTCCGAGTCGGGCCGGGTCGTCCTCTCTGTCCCTCTCTCCCTCCCTGGCCTCCTCCTGCTACTCCTGCTCCTCTAATGTTGTAGCCTGGGTTAATACTCCTCCTCATTCCTCCTCTTCCTTCTTTCCTCCTCCACTTACCTCCTTGCCAACTAGCCGTTAATGTGCTCTGTCTCAGTCAGTGTGCACAGCTCTCACTGTTCAAAGATGGTTCTTTAAGGGTTCTTCAGTAAAGAAAATGGTTCTATATAGAGCCATGAACATTTGAAGAACCCTTTGCATGATTAAAGGGTTCTTCGCGTCATGAAGGGGTTCTTCAGATAGATGGAGAATGTGCTGTAGATGGTTCTGTACAGAACCTTTTTGAAAAGAGTTCTAAATAGCACTCAAAAGGGTTCTTCTATTCTTAAAAGATTGACATTGTAACAATAGAAGAACCCTTTTTGGTGCTATATAGAACCCTATTCAAAGAGGTTCTTTATAGAACCATCTACAGCAAATTCTTAAGAACACTTTCATGATGCAAAGAACCCTGTAATCATGTAAATTCTTTGGTTCTATATAGAATCATTTTCTTTACTAAAGAACCCTTAAAGAACCATCTTTTTTTAAGAGTGTACCATCATCAAAGTCTGTGTCTAAAGGTCATCAAGGTCTGTGCATAAAGACTGAAAACAGTGGCAGTAGTTAGCCACTGTAGTTAGTAGAGAGCCTTCACAAGACCTCAAAGCCACAATAAGGAATGATAGAACAGTCCCTGTGCTGACCTTCTAAAACACTGATAAAGAGGTACATCATAGCTGTCAGAACAAAACCATGGAACATTATAGTAGAAGAAAAAACATGTTTAACTTAAAATGGAAAGTAATGTAAAAACGTACTTATGGACCTTATTTTTGGTCCATTCATCTTAAAATGTTCACACAATGAGAAGAACAGCTGATGTTTTCAAATTAAAATAAAGGGCAATAATGAAGTTACAAGATTTGTCCAGACAGTGAAGACCTGTTGTCTTTCTTAAATGCAACTGCAAGCTGTAAATTAAAAGAATTAACAGTAAGAGGTACAGGACAATAAATAGGAATTACACAAGGAACTAAAGTTATGAGTAGCTAATTTACATTTGTTCATTTATATATTGACAGTATTATGTACTATTACAGTAGAGTCATAGCTGCATTTCAGAAATAGGTATTTGTGCCATTTAATATCAACTAAAAGGAAACAAATGAATATGTGGGAATATATAATCATATATCAAAATAATGTTTTGATATGACTCAGGCAGCAGTAGGTAAGCCCTCAGTTTTTGTGGAGGGAGTGATAGGAAGTTGGTTAGATTTAGAAAATGAATATTGTGTTTATGCATGAACATAACTTTAGAAAGTCTCCTGCCTCTTTTATATATTGGTTGGCTGTTTTCAGCATGAGAACTGTGCACACTAGTCAGAGATGGAATCATACAATTCCTAAGTCATGAAATCCCAAATTCCCAAAGCCTTGGACCTTGGTGTGCAGACGTGGGAATGAAATGACCGATACTCTTTAGAAAAACAGTACAGAGTAAAAGAGTAGAGTGGGAATGATATTATGTTACATTATATAATTTTTATATTGTATCTTGTCCTCTGTGCTGTAGTCTGTTATGATATGCAGTAAGCTGCCATTTCTTCTTGCCCACTGTAGAAAGAAAGACATTCTCCCAGCCTACAATTTGCTTTCAGCTTTCTTGTCACAGTGTAACAGGGCTGTCATGAAGATTATATACAGTTCAGAACAGTATTAATTGTCATTTTGTACTTATCGTACTTAATATATGCCTGATTGAACTGTTTGCCCACTATAGAAATGCAGCTTGTTCAGAATTTGAACTTAGTACTTTAAACCACAGTTTGCTCAGTAATGCTACGCTCCCTCTAGTGGGCAAAACTTTAATTTCACCTTGTACAAATGGAGCTAAGCTAGATGGTGTTGATTAACTTTAGTAGTAAACATTGTGTCCCTGAGACCGAGATGAGTAGCATATTACTCAACAGTTTGTGGATGTGACTGTCAGTTCTTATACCTGCCCTTTAACACTGGTAACTCTTTAGCGAAATGAGGAAAAATCAGAGGCTTTGCAGTAGACGGACCATAGGGACCATAGTGAGGATGGTAACATCAGCATTGGGATTTTTTCTTTACATTTTTGAAGATCGCGCAATAGTTTGACCTATTTTTATTCTCTTAAATGTTAATCTCTGAGCCCAGAACATATGACAGTCCAATAATATATTATTATATTGGAACATACTTCTATGCTTTTGCAAGAAACCACCTCGAAAGGTTTGTGAGGTTTTCATGAGATATAAAAGCTCTGATTCTCTACATGTTGTCTCTGTCAATATGAAAGCTTTTGGTTTTTTTACAGCATTTGAAAATGGCTTTTGCCTTTACCTTTCATGATGAAGAGAACAATAGAAATGTTCCAAAATGACCTGGGAAAATCAAATTGTTTCTTATTGCTAGAAACCTAGTCTCCTGTGCTTAATGGTGATAACAGGTACAAGGATATGAACTACAAAAAAGGTCCAAAACCTTTCTCTTTGAACATCAATCGTAAATAACAAGCGTTTGCACACCAATAGCTTTGGCTGACATCCCTCGTCCCTAACCCTTCCACTCACATCTAAATCCCCTTTACGCTTTATCATAGACCAGCACAAAAGCACCATTCTTAAGCTCTTAAAGCATATAAACATGTTTTGACTTACTCTTAACGATGGTGAAACTTCTTATATTTACTGCTTTAGTTCAACGGGAGGACTAAAGTCTGTCTTTTTGAATGCACTGTTGTTTGCAGGGGGAGAGGGGCAAGAGAGGCAACAGGGGGGCCAAAGGGGATAAGGGAGACCAAGGAGCCCCTGGATTAGATGCCCCCTGTCCATTGGTATGTCCTTCGTTCAATGTGGCACCTCAAGGCTAAAGGTGGCAGTGGATGCTGGGATGAAGAATGGCATCCCAGCAGCCACAAACGACACCTTATGTCTTGATGTAATAATAACACAGACGCCCAGAGCGGTTCTGGTCCAAATCTTTGAGTTAGTCACTGGCAAAGGCATTTACACATAAACAGAGCACTCAGACATGTTGAATGACCTTGAGGAAGGACCAGAACTTTCCATGGGCATTTTCCATTTTCAGGATTTGCACTGACAGGAAGGGGGTCGTGCTGACTCCTAAAAGGAGCAATTAGATATACGTTTATATTTATGTGTTTCAATGCCCTTATCCAGTTAGTTTCAACCTCATTAGATCAGCATCCATCTTAAAAATAGTCATAGTTGGTTGGCTTGGTTCTAGGGCAAACCGTTAATTAATATAGAACCTTCACCATTTGTAGAGGTTCTTTAAACTTTAAAAAGTGAATAAAGTTCTTTACTCCAAAGAGCCCTTTTTTTTAAAGAGTGGAGCGCTGTGCTTTGTATCCAGCACTATGGACTCAGCAAGTCTCTTCTTGTCAGTGTTGGGCCCGGTCTGCATGCTCCAGTTCAGACTGGCCTGCAGGCTCTAGGCTGCTCTGTATGGAGCAGCTGTGCCTTCAGCAGTGCTCTGCGCAACGCACTGTGCTACAGGAGGATGTTGATGTGATTGATTTCATGAACAGGGTTTCCGAGGCATTAAAGGAGAAAAAGGTGAACCAGGCTTGCCAGGCCTGGATGGGCTGGATGCCCCGTGCCCTGTGGTATGGTGCTCTCCCTCTCTCTTTCTCTCTTTCTGTCCATGCCTTCTCTTGCATGCTCAGTCATTTCCATAACCCCTTAGACCACACCCTGATCACTCGCTCTTAACAGAAATTGTTGTAGTGAAATATGCTTGTTTGAGCAGTTTCATAAATATGAGACAGGATATTCTGCATGTCTTGATTATTTTACAATATAGTCATTTTTGCACTAAATGCACTAATACCATATATAGATTTCCTTACAAGATCACAAAGCTAAAAGCTTCATCTGTTAGCCAGTCTTATATTATCAGTTAATCCTTTCCTAATATTAACATCAGTTCATACTAAAATTCTTAGTAATGAAACTAGACAGTATTTTACTTTCTTGCTCTTGCTGGTGTAGTTGTTTAATCTGATATAATCTGATATTTTAGAAAATTTATTAGTTTTAAACTTCTTACTTGGATGCATGGATGCTATATTTGTGTAGCTAACAGCAACACAGTTTCCTTATATAAGGTGTTTCAGTTCACCCCATAATATCTGCTAACACTTTTTCTCACATTATTCTCACTAATTCTCAGTATTAACATTAATTACTCATTTCACATCCACATGGGTCATTAAAAAAAGAATGGGTCAGCCTGGCACCCTTAAAACAAAGAGTTTTCCAAAAATATAAAAATATAAGAACAAAAAGAGTCAAGCTTGAGCTTGTATGAAGCATGCATAATTGGAAACGCATACTTTATTTTATTTCACATCGCCTACCAAATGGACAAGAGCTCATTTAAATGCCTATTTACATCTATAAATGTGACTGCATGATTGTTAGCAAATGTAAATTAAGTGTTATGATGAATGTTATAGAGTTCAATACCAATGCATAAGTGGTTGATATTACTGTCTGCCTGTGCTCCAATCTTATGTTTCTTAAAATTTTATGTTCTTACATATTGAATGAGTTGCTATCTTTCTCATGATTGCTGTTGTCTTTCTCAGGGTGATGATGGTCTACCAGTACCAGGGTGTTGGAATAAAGTAAGCAGATTTCAGTGATCTAACTTGTTTTTGCTGTGGCTTTGGGTTGATGCAGGAACTGACACAATGCATTATGTACTAATTCTCCAGTGCCGTAATGAAATAATGCACTAGTAATGGAGGTGTATTTTCTAAAACTGATATGTCTTAGAAGACCATCTTCTGTCTTCACAGAATGTTAAAATATATTTTTACTCATTTATTAAGATGACAGATTTAGTTGATCTGACCACTATTTTTTATTTGTATCCTGTATGGAAATGAATGTATGATCAGTGCATTTAAGTGATATTATACTAATGGTAGCCTGTTTATATGTATTTTAAAGCGTTTTAAATTTTTTAATTAATTTTGTCTCAGAGAGTAAAGAAATGAACACTCTATACCTCCATGCACTTCAGGCATGAAATAACATGCTGTGTTCTCTGTGCTTCTTGTTTTGCAGTGACGTTAATTCCGGAATGCCTTGTTTGATTGTATATAGAATATTTATTTTTGTACTGTTTTGCTCTGTTATATGATGGGGAAAAATACAGAAAATCATAAAAATACTGGCAGGACTTTTGTACAGATTGTTTATTTTTATTACTGGTAATGTTGTTTATGTAATGGATTTTATACTGTGCCTATGCATTATGTCAAAATGTTTTGATTAAGGAGGAGATATACTGTGGCAGCATATGCATGATATTTGTGCATTATGTTAACTGATATGTGCCTATTAACTTATTTTATAATGGTGTTTTGATGAGTTGTAACAGACCACGCTGCACTGATTGGTGGAGCTGGATATTATGAAGTGGCCTTCCATGAGGAAAACCCTCGATTCTGAGATTAAAATTGACACCAGCAGTTACAAAGTATACCTATAGAGGCAACACTGTAATCTCTAATGTATACTGGAAACTACAAGGGCTCATTTCTAAAAATGTGCTTACCATATGTCTCTTCATATTGAGATTTCTGTAACAGTTTACTTGTGTGACTCACAATGCATAAATGATTGGTATTCGTAGATGAACGTTCAGTAAATATTTTAATCTCTTTGAGAGGGTTTTCTTTAAGAATCTTTGCAGTCCAAAGTTCAAGGAAATTAACAAATTAACAGAGCTATTGTTGGGCAGCTTTAAGAGGATTATCTCTTTGACTATGCAAAAGCCTTATGCGTTATTTTTGCCTTGATAGGCCACACGTAGATGTATAACGTAGAAATTACAATTCTGAATCTTGCTTTAAGCAACTACTTTTTTTTGTATGCCTTTGCCTTGTGTTAGAATAGTGCCAAAGTCATGTTACACATCTGACCGATATTCATGAAGTCTTCCTTTAATTTATATCATATGTATATTGCTGCTCTGTTGACAAGCAAGCTGCTGCATTTGCTTTCACGCTTCTACGCCCTATTGTACCTCATCTGATCAGCAGAAATGAAGAAAGAAGCCGAGCAATATACAGACTTTACTTAAACTTTTTAAAAACTTTATGCTTTCCATTTACAACATGCAGTATGTCAGGGTCACACGAGGAAGGCCCCTAGCTAATGTTTGTTTGTTTGTTTGTTTTGTTTTTGTTCTGTTCTTTTGATTATTGTTTAACAAGTGTTGAAGAAGTGATTAGTTTGATTGAATGAGTGTATTGTGTGTATTCAATTGCTGCTGCTTACCATGAAAAGCTCTGTCTGAACTGCATTTAGCCTGTCATTCAGATGAACTACAGTCTGCAACAATAATCCACTTCAGTAAACTCATCATCGGGCTGTAATACCTCATACTAACATGTGCTGTAATGCTTCTACTCTGCCATAGTAGTCATGAGAAATATCAGAATGTCAGAAAAGCTATCTACGAGAACATCAGAAGGAAAATAAATTGTAGTTAAACCCTTGCTGTTTTAAACTAGTCTTATTTGTTTACACTGACAGAAAGTCAATCTCTACAAATAACTGAATTCATACTTTGCCCTCTTTGAATGTCTTGGATTGCCTTGGGTACCAGCCAAAAGACAAAAATGTGGTTGCTGGCCTTGCCCATGCTTGAATGCATTGTGTTCTACTTACCTTACTTTGTTTTTGTGTTTGTGTCAACCTGGTGAGTGAAATGAATGCCTTGATCTCACACTATTAAACTATTATACCCATATACTGATATATAAAGGGGCCATATCATGGAAAACTAAATTTGTTGAAGTTTTAAAACGATTCACTTCCCATTCAGTACAGTCCATGTATGCAAAGTAAGCTGCAAACACAGCCTTTTTTTTGACATCACCACACATTTATATATGACCACCTGTTCAGCCTACTGCAATTCAGCCCACCCATTCACAGTGATGTCATAAATAGGGAAGAGTTAGAATTTTCAAATATTCAAAAAGTCATGACAGTTTGTGAAAAAAATCTAATAATATATTTTTTTGATATGCAAATTAGCTTCTCTCGATACTTCACTAGAGGTCAGTGTAGAGCCAGCATCTTATGTTTTGGTCAGAGCTTCTTATCAGTTTATCCCAAAAAAGGAGGTACAGACATTCTAATGCAGCCAGCTAAAGGCTACCACACACCGGAGGAAAGGCTCCACACCGTACCAGCAGAGGGTATCAGCTGCCAGGTAGCAGACAGTACAAAGCAAAGCTATAGCACATAGGAAGAGTCACAGAAAAGTGCAATGACAATCAAACTCAAGTTCATTTTACACTCTACTCAAACACAATTTATCACATAGTTAACTCTTCATACACTCGCTGTTTTTGAGCTAAAAGAGACATGATGAAAGACGATGTAACTAGGCTAGTGACATTAGCTGAAGAGAAAAAAGAGCCTTTGTCTGTTTTTCTGTGTACATTTTAAGCCATATGTCAAGGTCTGAGTTGAATATAATACAGTGATAGTAAGATGCTGAGTGCTTGACGTGTCCGGTTGCGGTAACCTGTAGCCTTAAGAGTCCTATACTTTTTTTTTGGTGTGGGGCGGGTCATTATTCAAATATTTCTTAAATGATAGCTTACAAATCTGAATGTCAAATTTAACTGATGTGCCCATTCCTAGTGATAAAGGAGTGCTGTTTCTACAGACAAAGAAAGATTTGGAAAGAACGCATTTAAACGCTGTGCTGTTATTGGCTTTTTTAGCAAATATATCACTGCATATCCTTTCAAAGGATCCAGACATCTGAAAGTAGCAGCTGAAGAATTAAGACCAAACAAACATAAACGGACAAAAAATATGGCCCCTTTAATGTCTAGTACATAAAGTAAAATGTACCTGTAGCACTATACTAACTTATCTTTATTTCATTGAAAGGGTCAGAATCCTTTCCAGCTGGCTAAGAAGTAACACTACCAAGAGACCCGCCTGGTTCTGGCGCGTCTTTGTTCTAAGCTACAAAAGGAAACTTGAAGAGATTGTAGGAGATCTTTGAGTTCTGCTCTGTGGCAGCTGTTTGGTGGCTGTTCCAAAGGGCTACAGCAAGCCCGGGATTACTGGGAGACTCCACAGAGGGGTGTAAGTGAGCAGACTTGACTTTGATAGGACCTCCATAAGGAGTTTTTATTTGCCATTTTTCTGCTGAAGGCTTCACAGAAGAAACGGCTGCAATGCAAATAGTGTATCACTTCCTCCATGTTGTATACATTTTTATTTCTGTTTATTTTGTTCACTATGTGAAAAACGTTTTGTAGTATTGTATTATTATTTTTTTTATTTGACACCAGTAACTGTGATCCGAGAATTCAGCGCAGCTCACTGAACATGTCATCTCAGTGTTCATGTGTTTCCAGACAAACAAAACAAACACCAATCTTTTGATGATTCCTGATTTCAGTTTTTCACTGCCTTTTGTCAATGTGGGAGTGGCAGCAAGTATCTGTGCCTTTACTCAAACATTGACAGCTCTACTCATTTCACATCCAAATGTATTTAAATGTATATACAGGAAACGTAAACAGTTTCATAATAGAATGAACAAACTTAAAATATCTTTATTTTTAACATATCAAAACAAAGATACGAACAAAATGGCATTAAAAAGTAGAATGATGTGCAGCTTTAACACATTTTGTATAATATACAAATAGGTTCATAACTTGTTACTGGTATTTACATTTGTAGAGAAATGTAAATAGAGATACAGTTAGTCTTGAACTTCTAATGCAGTTACTGTTGAACTTCTACAGTATTTCTACTGGTTTAGAACTAATGTAGTACTTACATGCAGTAAAACGTCTAAGGCAGTTGCTGTAGAACTTCTAGAGTACTTCTATACAATTTCTAATGCAGTTACTGTAGAACCTCTGCAGTAGTTCTATACTCTACAACTTCTAATGCTGTTACTGTAGAACTACATGGTAGAACTTCTAATGCAGTTATTTTAGAACCTCTACAATACTTCTATACTGTAGAACTTCTAATGCAGTTATGGTAGAACTTCTACAGTATTTCTATACTGGTGTAGAAAGTCTATAGTGCTTCTATGCAGAAAAACGTCTAATGCAGTTACTAGAGAACTTCCACAGTACTTCTATACTATACAACGTCTAATGCAGTTACTGTAGAACTACATGGTAGAACGTCTAATGCAGTTAATGTAGAACTTCTACAATCCTTCTATATGTGGAACTTCTGATGCAGTTAATATAGAACTTCTAATGCAGTTAATGTAGAACTTCTAATGCATTTCATGTATAACTTCTACGATGCTTCTATACGTGGAACTTCTAATGCAGTTAATGTATAAATTCTACAACATTTCTATAGTGTAGAACTTCTAATGCAGTTATTTAAAACTTTTAATGCAGGTAATGTAGAACTTCTACAATATTTCTTTACTGTGGAACTTCTAATGCGGTTAATATAGAATGTCTGATGCAGTTAATGTAGAACCTCTACTTTATTTCTATACTGTGGAACGTCTAACACAGTCAATAAAAAACTTCTACAGTACTTCCATACAGTAGAATTTCTAATGCAATTACTGTAAAACATCTATCATACATCTATACCACTGCAGACTTTCTACAGTACTTCTATATTGTAGTACTTCTAATGTAGTTATTGTAGAATATTTGCCGTACTTCTGTACTAGTGTAACCCTACTACCTACTAACCCTAACCCTAGAACTTTTTCAGTACTTCTATACTATTCTATACTTTGGATTCACATATGCATTAAATAAATATGATAGATGACATTTGTATTGAAACATATCATGGCATAAGGGAAAGCTGTTCTAAACATAGGATAATTTTTTTGGTGGGCAGCTAAACTGTGTTGATTGATTTTGAACAATATTTAAATTGTCCATGAAACATTAGTTTTACTGTTTATTTAAAAAAAAATACTATTTCAGCCTTCTGGCCACATGCGTGTTTTGTGATTTTTATTTTTTGTTGATCTTTTAAAAGTGTTTTTGAAGTTTTTTTTACAAGTTTACTTTTTATGGAAGGCCAAAGTGAAGCCGCGAGTTTAGAGGCTCTGAACAGCTGTTGATGCAGTAACAGCCTATTTTAGTTGTCTGGTACAAAGCTATTATTATCGAAGCCACAGATGCATGTAAGGCATACATACATAGTCACAGTACAGTTCAGTACATGACATTATCACATCAACCCTGCCATAGTTTTAAACTGGAAAAATCCTTCACTTTTCACTGCAACACTGTGACTTGGTTAAATGTATAAAAGCTGGACGGTGGAGAAGTGTTTTATTATGTTGATAGACTAATGCACAGAAGCATTCCTTATGTCATAGTGTATTCTGACGGCTGTTCTCAGCTCAAGACTTCAACCAGTGTACACAGTGCTAGTGTTTGTTATTACAGAAGTCATCATTTGAGACATGCAGCTCAGATGTTTTTTTTCAGAGACTAAATTCCTCAAATAGCAAAACTGCTTTATTTTAACTTAAGCTCACGATCAGAAATTTTAGGAAAACAAATGAATGTTTAGGGCTTTAAATGCATTGAAAACAAAGGTATGGGTAAAAATCTTGGCAATTCTTGGAAATCTACATTGTCTATTTCAAATAATCAGTGATACTATAAAAACTGACTTTCGAACAGCTTTGCAAATGTCTGGTTATGGCATAAATATGCTTCAGATATATTCCTATCCAAATGACTAATCTTTCTTCAAAATTCTATGTCAGTATAAAATTTGTGTGCAAATGTTAAATGTGCCTGTTTAATCATTTGAGGCAAAAAAAATTAAATATACAGCACGTTTCATCAAAACATTTTCTATATTTTCATAATTTTTACATTATTAAACAAAGATCATAACCTAAGAACATACTAGGAAGCAACAACTATTACTTTTTATGCACACAGCATTGGGAATATTTTTAACTGTTGATTTTGCACATTTTAAGGAGTGTGTTATATTCTGTCTCAGAAATGATTGCAAAGTTTGTACTGTACGTTGTTGATTCTTTTTTAAACAGAACATTTCCCTAATGACACAACCTGTACTGTGTCTTGATCTTATCTTGTCCTTTGTATTCTCCATGTAATGTGTACAATAGGCTACTAAATAGTAAAGGTAAACAGATGATCATTTATTCAAAATAGGAAATGTCTAGCTTTTTTTTTTTTTTGGACCTGGGGGTGGTCTTCTGTTGAATATTTTGTAGACAATTTAATTGCATGCAACACCAGCCACAAGCATGTTGAACATACAGCAGGGTGAATCCAGGTAAAGTGCAGCCCTGGGGGGGAGATTTTGAAGTCTCTGTGGGATAATAAAGACGGCCATGTCTAAGAGTTTCCAAAAAAAAAAAACAAAATTTATAAGAAGGTGACTGTTGAACTGTCAAACTGTCAGTTTTTAGTCATGTTGCAAGTCATTTAGCTTTTCAAACTAAGTGGCTAAAACGTGAGTTGTTATCACTTAA